GACTGCTACAAATATATCAATCAGAAGAAAAAATTTTCAAACTAAAATTAAAAAAAAAATTCTAGAAAAAAATAAAATTATTTTAACTGAGCGATAATTTTAAACATATATAAAATCAAACCACACTACACCGATTACTATGAAGGGTGTTTTTGGTGTGGCACGGTGTGTAGGGGACTTTGTATAGCAAGATACAAATTACGCGAATGTAAATTGAAAGCGAATAAACAAACAGCAATTTGGCAAGAAACTAAAAATGTCAACGAATCAGAAAAAAGAGACAAAAAAAAATATTTATAAATATTTGAAAACAATTTCAGCGCCGTTGGCAGTGCCATAAACAATCAGCTAGCATTAATGCTAAAACACACAAAGGCAAATTTAATAAAAACGCAGCGCGCTGCCAATGCATGCTTGTTTACGAACGCAAATGTGTTGCGCCTGCGTAAGTGCACGCATTACTGACGCAACTCGCTATTGGAGCGCCTCACCTGGCAGGCGCACACACACACCCAAACACATACCGGGCGCATTGCAGCAGTCGAACACTTCTGTTGCTGTCATTTCATTCATTGAAAGCCACTGCAACGGTAGCAGCCAAATGCCGCCCCGAACGCCCCGCCGCAGTTGCAACGGGTGAAAACTCGTTTAGCAGCATGTTCGGGCTGGCACTTTTCTGCTTATTATTATCTCGCATTTACTTACGTTTTAGTTAAGCATTTTGTTGTGCCTACATATTTTGGCATATTTCACACCGACTTCGGCGGGCATAATTTTATTGAAAACATTCTTTTACCAAAGTTTCGCTTGTAACCGTTTATTTTTATAAAAAATAGCTAGAAACGGTTTAACTTAAATATATTACTGATTTGTCTAATGTTTAAGTGCCACCACGGCATAATACAACAACAAAATTAAAAAAAAAAACAAAAGTGCGCAATACTTGTAAGTTTCAAATTCTCTGGCATGAAATTAACATTTTTAATTAATTCTAGCATGACAGAAAAATAGTACATGCTTAAGTACCGTATATATGTGAAGTGAAGTGTGAGTGTGTGTGCATGTTAACTTATGTAAAATTGCATTTTCGCCCGCCTGTTGAGTGTTAAATTGCCATGGACCCGATAATATTTATGAGTCTGCAAGTGGAAATTTATGACCAACAAGTAAATTAGTGGAAAATTGATTGGCATTCAACGGTGTTTGTAATTTTAGTAGCAATGTTGATGCTGCGCAAACTAAACAAAAAATGGAAAAATAAAAAATTAAGTAAATAAAAGTGAAAATTTGCAATATATCCCGTCAAACACATTAAAAAGTTAAACGTTCCAAATTTTGTGTATAAACAACAGAAAAGCGATTGAGAAATGCTTGCCGGGTCTGCATGTGGCAAGTGTGAGATTATGCGGTTTGGATAGAATTATTTTTATGACCCCATAAAATTACCGTTATACTTAACGCTAAAGTGCAAGCGACTAGTGTGCAGCGCACATAAAAACACAGACACACACGCGCACATACACTTGCACATTGCTGCACGGCGAAAAGCGCAATAACAGCGAAGTGTTTACCAGCGAGTATGTGTGTGTACGCAGACAGAAAATATTTGTGAGTGTGTGTGCATTGTAGTACTCGTATTTGCCAGTGTGCAGATATGTAAGTAAGCATATAAGTAAATAAATAACACACCTGCATGCATATGTGTGAGTAAACACACATTTTAAATGTGCTGGCAAAAAGTTAGCCGACACACCGGTAGCCCTAGGTGAGCCCCTAGCTCATAAAACTTTTGCTATTTAGGGGATCAGAGTGTTTGGTGTTGCAGGATAAATGTGTTAAAAGGTAAAGCTTTAATGTTGTGGTGAGGTATAATAAATATTTATAGTTATATGCTGTATTTGTAAAAAATTTTGTGGATCCAAAATATAGAGTTATAGTTTAAGTTATTTAAAAATGTATTAACTCAAACTATTTGCAACTAAACACGCCCACATTTTGGTATAAGTAGTCATAAAGAGTTGATATATCAGCTAGTATAGAAAATATCATTTCATTGAGACACCTGCCACAAGAATATCTTAAAATATTTAGGCTTTAAAAAGCACAAATGTGGACGCTAACTAATTCTTTTTACCACATTTTGACATAAGTGCCTTTTTTACACAATCAGCTTAAACATATACCGCACACAGATATAAACTTGTATATACATAATACATATGTATACTTGTATATTACGCAAAGTTCCTGACGCCTGGGCTCAATTCAGCATAGTTTTGCAGAGATTGTCTGCTCTAGAGGCCAATGAATAGCAACAAATAGGGATTCGCACACACATGCATATCTCCAGGCAAACTCATGCGCATGTAAATATGTGTATAAAGTGTACAGGGATTAGAATGGAAATTTTGATACTTTCTACAGTGCAGTAGTAAACTATTCAATAATATATCACTGTTCCTGCACCAAAACCCAACTAAATATAACAGCAATATAATTATGCCCATCAAAAAATGATTTGCTAATGTTGTTTTTTTTTTACCAATTATGTGCCAAACTTTAATCCGCTAAATCCCACCTACTCCCATCTCATATCTTTCCCACGGAACCACTGAACTAAGTATTACTTCACGGGAGAGAAAAGATTTAAGTCCACTTTGATGTATGCACTGACTGACAGACGCCTTATCTGTTGTAAATGTCTCAAACTTGTCATAATTAGAGCTGACGCTTAGCTGACAGCTTTCAATTTAACAGAGGATTCACACGTAAGTGCTGTCAAATTTTGCGCCGTGAGACTACCGCCAAGTGTGCTTGTCAGTTTTTCCCTCATACTTAAAAATCGAGGACAATGATATAATACGGATACAAAGTCTTCCATACACCCTGTACAAGTCGGAAATTTATAAAGACAGCTTCTAAAGCTTCTATGGTCACTTAGCTGTCACTGCCTGCTTTTGTCTCTTTTTGCCGGCATATTGTAGAAAGTCTATGCATGCGTTTGTCTTTAGCTTAGTTATTAAAAATCGTCAACTGGAACGCACACGGCCTCTATTTGCCATCATTGTAGTTAAAGCATTGTAGATTTTATTTGATTTACCTGTCATGTTCTTCAAGGGCTCCTTAAATTTTAGTATTGGGTCCAATATTAGACCAAGGTACTTCAACTGTGGCTGTGCGGTAATCTCACATTTTTCTATGGCGATATGTTTTTATTTATTTTTTCTTGAAGCGTATGAGCAAGTGATCTGTTTATTGCTCAATCAGCTCTAGATTTATGGTAGCAAATGATCGGCGTAGACCATTAATGCATTTGAGTCGAAGATCATCTAGATACCACTATGAAGTCATCCGAAACAGAGTAGCTCTGGGTCCATGTCGAATACCAATATTCGGTTTTCAAAATAGCTATTGCCAATTTCCCAGAGTTGAACGCATGCTTCATATTCAGGGTTATTAGCGCGCGATATTTTTGTGTCACCTTTCTGTCTTTTGCCATTTGTTGCATATTACACTGTATCAACGACTTCTTTTCTTCAATAGTGAACTAATATAATATATATAATACTAATATATATATGCAGTATATAAAAAATGTTGCCTAATAATCACAACACAATAAAAAACTTTAAGTTCCAAGTATATGTAGGTATAATTATTCTTAAGGGGTTAGGGGTAGTCAGAGGCATACAAAAATTAGAATTTTTAGTAATTTTTTTTTTTTGCTATTATATCATGTTATTTTACAAAAGTAGTAATATGGCATTATTATATAATGTTTTGACTTGAAGTCACGAAAGTTTCAAAAAATAACCCTTTAAGGTATTTTCTGTTTTCTCTACTTCTTTTCAGAATTGTACTAGTTAAGTTTCACAGCAGTTTTAGTACAGTTAACTCAATTCCAAAATACAAAACTTAGAAAAAAAACGGGTTTCCCAAAGATTTGTTTACAAACGGGAATGTTAGGAAAAGACACCTTAAAATATAACTAAAAGTTTAAGATACGTCTCTTTTCACCTTCCTGATAATTTTAGACTTTTTTAGCTGAAAGAAAGTTGTTTAAAATTACACCCTTTAATATATATAATACTTGTATATATATATATAATTGAAAAAAGCCTCAAGCATTCATAAAAAATGATGTTAAACTTGTAAAATTAATATTTTAAAATTTATTTAAAAATTTGTAATCATTTTAGTTAATATTAACTTTTTTAGTTATAAATTTAAAAAAAAAAATTATACGAAAACCAAATGTTCAAAATAAATTCCAAAATAACGAAATAAATCCACACTCTTTGCAGCAAGCAACTATAGTACTGTGCATAATTAAAACCATTACCGATTTTGTATGGCATAATTGTTTTTCTGTCGAAATTCCGAGTCAATCAAATTGATATGCTATTTGCACAACATTGCAATTTGACCAAAAGATCCCGCATACATAAACGCGCCTTGACCGTAAAATTTCTTTGATCATACCAAGAAATATACACACAGAGATATATGTTGTTGCTTAAATGGAGTGAAAGGTGAATTCCTATTCAAAATATGTTTATCTATTAAATGCAATGAAATGCAGCTGTCAGAGATTTGATTGATGGCAAAGTAATTGCCAAAGCTTCCAAATGCTGCTGTGTATATGTGTGTGTGTCAAAAAAAATATGTATTTGTACAAATTTGAATAGCTTAACAGGAGAGAAGGCGCTTGGCTGCGCTGCAAGTGCTGATAGAATTATTTCCAAAATATTCAGCTAGATCTTGAGATGACTTATTCAAAATACAGTACACAAATTAATACTCTGCCTTTGATTTAATAATTTTTAAACGCATTTTTTTACAAAAGAGAGAGTGCATAACTTTCTCGTTACTTTTAGCAAGCCCTTTGTACCAAAATAAATTACCTAAGTTTCTCTAATGTTTCCCAGAAAGTTGAAACTTACACACATTTGTACATTTTCCAAAATAAAGTGGTAATTTCATTTACATTTCTCTTGCAGCACACGCAAATCAACGGCGGAAAGTTTCCAATCAACCGAAGCGTTACCCTTACAACTTAGACACAAATGACATTTGTTCACTCAAATGACAAACAGCGAAGAACTTAAATACTTTTCCATAGAACATCTGTAAAGAAGTAGAAATAAATAAAAGCAGCAAAATGACAAGTTGGTCGTAAACCCTCTGCACGGCATCGATTACACTCGAACAATACTATCTCCTCTAACTGTCACTAATCAGCGCTGTTGTTGTCTGTTCATAGCTGGCGGCATTCGCCAGCATAGTTTTGTCATCATGTATGCGAAATGTGTTGCACACACGACTGTCATTAAATGACAAATGTTTGGCAGCATCAATCAGTGGCGTATCGAAAAGCAACAACAACAGGAACAACAAAGTCAACTGCCAACACTACAAAAAGCACATAAAAACGCGAAGAGAGAGAGACAGACTCAGACTAGGAGATCGCGTTGTGTGCGGTGCGGTCGGATAGCGCTCTGCAAGTGTACTGGTAACGGCATGGCCATTAGCCGGGGGCGCGGCAATCGCATGCACTCTTGGTTTCTTCTCAAAGATTCGGTGATATTCGTGTTAGTTTTGTGCGTGCTACAGTTGCTGCAGGCATATGCGCTAAGTAAACTAGTGATAAGCGCGGAGATGTTACAAGCTGCCCAAAGTGGTGGCGTAAATGAGCGACGACCAGATAATAATGCCACCGTAGACCGTAAGGAACTAGGCGCCGTAGAACGCGCTATGACAGAGTTTGTAGAGACATTACTGCTTGGTCAACAATCGGCGGGAGAAACCAAAGAAGCGACTGAGAAGCTTGCTACTGCCAGTAACAGTATTAGTATGAGTCAGAAGAGTAGTGAGATTAGCAATAGGGATAGGATTAGTAACAATAGTTTAAGTAATGGTAGTAATCACAACACAACCACCACATCAGATAAGTCAGCGCCGATTGACGCGCATAAATCAAGTGATAAGCGAGTTGGTAAGCCACAAGCCGCACATGAAAGCGATACACGAAAGCTGAGCAACATCGCAAATATACACAACAACACACAGCGTATGCTTGCGGTGAACGCCGCTGCCGCCACAGCCTTCGACGACAGCAAGCCTCATCTCGATGGCGGTGCAAATGCCACTGACAGCAAGCAAATACAGCGCGCGGTCGTCAACATACCCGAGCAGATACGTGAGAATGTCGTATTATCATCCGTCGATCCGGAAAAGGAGGCGCAGTTGTTGTACGAGCAAACTTTGCTGGAGTATCATGGCAGCATACAGGCGGCCGCAGCGGCAAGTAGTTCACCATCAGCCGTCATAGCTGATAAGCCAACGACGGGGGAGAATGGGCGTACGTCACTACTGGAAGGCGCTACCGCAGAGCGGCAACCACGCACTCTGCACAGCGTATGCGAAGTATGGACGCAGAAGCATTGCCATTGCACCGGCACTCTGGAGCGGCTATCACTGAGTTGTCGTGGTATCGGCGTTGTTGCGGTGCCGGTGGAGCTGCCAGACACCGTTGTAACATTGTAAGTAAATTACTTTAATGAACTAGATCGCATGACTTGCTGTACAAAATTACTTGTGAGTGAAAATATTTATTGTATATCAACCTTATAAACTTTTATTTCAGAGATTTGGGCAACAACAACATAACTAGATTTGAGGCTAATACATTTTTTATGGTATCGAACCTCGAAGAACTGTAAGTAAAAATGGCTTTTTAGAAAGACTAAACGAGATATTAAGGTTCCAGATTAGTATTATCCAAAAAGTTTTTTATCCACACGAGACTTGTTTTAGTCAGCGTTTAGTTCGGTTATATTGGTTATGAGCTCCACTAGTGTAAGCTAACCTATTTTGGATCGTTGTAGCAACTGTAATAAATTCTCTCTATTAAATCATTTTTCGCTAATTTGTTGTGTAACTTCATATAATTGACTAATATAGTCTCTACGAAACATCAACATGTTAAGCAAGCTTTCATTCTAAAATTTTTCAAAAATCGTTTGAAAAAAAGCGCTTTCTGTGCTTTCTGAATTATTTATACTTTGCAAGAGACCATCAACTGATAAAGTTCTTCTATTAAGCTAATAGTTGTCTCATTAGTCAATGTTCTTTCAAGCACACAAACGTACATATATATATATATATATATATATATATATATCATATACATACTTGCACAACCTTTATACTCTTCTTCAACTTCAATTTATCTGCGCTGCGCCTTGGTAGCTTTGAGCGCTTACTTTCGTCGGCAGCACAGTTAGCAGCAGCCGCGCCACCCCTCAAGCCTTTCAAGTTTGCTTAGATAAATGACTTTATTACCACATTTCAACACATCCGGCAATTAATAATGCCCATTTGGCAAGGATGAGCCTTAAAGCGCTGCTTTCATCCACAGCCATGTAAATAGGGATGCAGCGCGTTTTGCGCATTTTCTACTCCTAATTTTAATTTCATATGCCAGTTTTTAACATTGCTTGAGATATTTGAATTTTTTACTTCATTATTCACAGAACTTTAGCCGACAATAGCATCATTAATATTGATCCGAATGCATTTTATGGACTTGGTAAATTAAAACGTTTGAATTTACAAAATTGTGGCCTTAAATCTTTGCCGGCGCACACATTTCAAGGATTGAAGAATTTAGTTTCACTGTAAGTAAGCGAGGAATTAAAGAATTAAGAGCAATTTTTTTGTTATTATGAAAATAAATTATGAAGAAAAAATACACGACAGCACTTATGATTTTTATAAACACACATACACATATATGTATTTGTAATAGTTACATACATACAAAAACAATTCGGCATAAACAACAGCACACTATAGTGCCTAAATTTATGCTACTTGCGCGCACGTCTAACGCTAAATTAAGGCAGCGCACACGCTATTCGGCTATTGCACTCAAAATTATAACAAAAAATGCTTTCTAACTAAAAAAAATTGTCAAACGAAATTCGTAAACAACTCAAAGATTTCATATGTTTTACTGTTGCTCTAGTAAAGTTATTAGTTTACTTTCATATTTTGTACTTTAATTTTTGCGCTGCTTTGCTGCAACCGCACAAACTACCCCGCAACCGGATGAATGCGCACCTTTTGCAAAAACCACTAAAAAAAAAATTATAATAAAATAAATAAATTATGCATATTGTGCACAAAAATAACAAAGCCAGCTGAACGGCAACGCCTTAGCCAGCATGGACACGGACAGCCTGCAGCATCTGCCCAAGCTACGCACGCTGCGGCTTGAGGGAAATCTGTTCTATCGGATACCGACAAACGCTTTGGCTGGATTAAAGACACTCGAAGCACTGTGAGCTATTTCTTACACTCTTACTTGCTTACTTACTTGCCTGTTATTGAATCACTTATGTATGTATGTATTTTTTACACGCACCAACACTGCGCCTACCTATATTTTCATAGATTTGCTATTTAATGTTATATACAAGTAAACAGCATTGTTGTAACTCTCCCAAGCACAGAACCATAACTATTGCGTGTATGTGTTAAATACTTGACTTTATAGACAAGTCTCCAGAAAAGTCTAAAAAATTTTAATTAATGTTCTGACTTGCATATTTATAAATGCTACATAACCAAACCATAAACACAATTGTCTTGATAAATTAAAAATTCTAGTATTGGAAAGTACCAAATATTTCAATGCAATTATTTTAATATTCAAGTTTTTGAAAAATGTTTTAATAGTTTTTTAATTAATAATTTAATTAATTTTAGTTAATTTTTCCTACTGTACCTTTTTCTAAACGTTAGTACATTTATATAAAATATTTTTTATTAATATTTAATACTTTATATATAAAAATGTTCATAGAAATCTTGGCAGTAACCTTCTGACAATAATTAACGATGACGACTTCCCACATATGCCAAATTTAGTGGTGCTGTAAGTATTTTTAATAATGATTATATAGAAGATGTATCGAATAACTGTGAAAATATTATAATAAGGCTTAATTTTCAAAGTGTTTTGTGTTATTAATGTAAAGAGTTATAAATTTGAATATTTGTTAGATATTATATAACATAAATTTGAAGAAGCTTTCTTCATTACACATTGTACTACTTTTTCATTGCTCAAAACTTTTTTAAAATGCTATTAACGCAGGAAGTACTAATAGGTAGGCAGCAAAGTTTAGTTTTTAATTTAAACAATTTTTATCTAGACAAGTTACCGAAGAAAGCAATTTATTGCATTTGGCAATACTGCAACGTTCGATACTATTTTTGTAGTAAAAGATATGTCTTCAAAGTAGGCCTCAATTCAAACCATTAACTTGTCAATAATACCAAATTTCTTTCTGCTAAAGATTCCATTAAAATCTGAGAATAGAAAAAAATTTGCGGCAGCTAAACCCAAATTATGGTAAACGATAAATGAGCAATCCATTCGAAGCTCAATTTATGTAATTTTGCTAGCACTTTCATTGATTTGTGACACGCTGAATGGATTGTGCTTACTCTTGTGTTTACTCTTTCGCATTTCAAAACATTCATGAAACCAATGAGCATATTGCTTTGAAAACTTTACAACATTAATTATTTCTGAGAACTTCATTTTACGATAATAGTAACGGATTTCGTGGACTCTTTTTTATATTATTTTCAGTAACAGTCCTTTTTGAAAGCCTACTGTATTCAGCGGTTAAATAGATGGTAGCTTCTTATAGAAAAAATACGAACTTCTCAGCTTGCCTAGCATATATTGTACTTATGTATATCTAAAATATAATAATTTCTATTGCAAAGATATTTTTAAATATTTTCTAATTCTGACCTTGACATAGGCATGGAATTTGAGGAAGAATAAGAATTAAAATGTTAGAATTTAATACAATAGTTGTGTTAACTATATAATTTTTCTGTTATTTATGCTATGTTAAGTAAAAACGTTTACTATTACAGTCTTTTAAAGCGAAATCAAATAATGAAGATCTCCTCGAGTGCATTTGCGAATCTGACGGCGTTAAAAGTGTTGTGAGTATACAAATCTCGTAAATGCTAATATAATTTATTTTAGTGGAGTGGACCAAAATAATGAGTTAGCTAAGAGGCACACCTATGTAGTATGACAGAATAAAAAACGACGATTTTTGAGAATTAAAAAAACCGACAGTGTCTATGGCTTTAAAATGTTAAGCGCATATTAATACATTTCTTAAAAATAAACACGAAAATACTTGAAGAAAAATATATATATATATATTTTTCGAGTTACACGCTTAATAAAATGTTGGCGTTTTCAAACAAAAGGTTGAGTTTTAGCCAATATTGGTGTTGTTTTTGGACAGCCAAAGAATTCGATTTTGGGTCAGTTCAAAAAACTGGTATATTATTGTAAGAGAACTATTTACAGAATATGCAGAAAACTTGATAGCGATCAGATGGTTTGTCTCCAACTAAGTGTTCAAGCAATTTCGAAAAATAATTTTTCGTGAAAAACGCGTTTAGAAGTAGAAGACTTTAATTCAAAACCTTTTTGAGATATTAATTCAAAATTTTTTAATGTAATTTTTAAAGCTATAAGCTATCGAAATATGATTAAAATTTCACACTAGGTTACATAATAATGACATTTTGGTGAGTTTTTAGATTTGGTTTTTCAAGCAAAGAAACTTGTGTACCAAGTACTGTTATCTATCACTGAATAAAATAAAAAAGCTAAAATTTAAAATCTCAATCGGTTTTTAAACTAAACTCACTTAAACCAACCAGCAATAGTATAAATACGATTGAGTTCCAAATAAATGACAGTTATTTTATTAAAATGAGTGGCAGCAATAAAACTCGAAATCCTATCGGAATTAATTTAAAAGCAAAATTCGAATGTGGCTTTGGGCCAGCGGACACGAAACGTATTGCCTTGCAGCAATTCAATAAACAAAATGAACGGTTAGAAACAAATACTCGCAGTCCAAATGAACAAAAAACCAAATAGCAGCAAGAAAGTGAAGATGAATGCGCGGGAAGAGAAAAATGGCCGCAGTTAAAATTGAATAAAAGAAACAAGTGCAAAAAGACAGCACCCGAAAGCAAATACTAGTGAATAGAAATGGTTATTGGTTCGGTGAGCGAATGCATGAGCATAAAAATCGCTGCCAATTTATAAGCATAAGAGTAAATTTCAAAAAACCCTAATTTAAAAGTGTACATGCAAAACACAATCGAAATATACCGAATACAATAGCAGCTATTTATGTGTGTGTGCGCTCGAGCAATAGTGTGTTAAGTGAAAAGTTGAGCGGGCTGAAAAGCAATAAGACACGACTTGAGAATATCAGCACATCAAGTAGTTTTTTACATTTTTTCGGATTTTTTGTGGGTTTCACACACACACACACACACATAAAAATATATTTTATAAGATTTGTTTACAAACAAAGCTCTGAGTGGCTCCTACGCATGCTAACATATGTATGTGTATGTGTTTATAACGGAACGGCGGCTACTTTGTTGTTGAAAAGGTAAAAGTCAAAAGTTTTGTGGCGTCAATGCTTCCATAAAATCGAGTGCAAGTTATTTGCGGAAATCGCAATTGCTATTGCCTTTATTATTGTTATTGTAGTTTATGCTATTGAGCGTTTGAAATGTGGCAATTTCAAGTGACCACTGGAAGATAAATACTTTGCGAATGCACACGATAAGACATTATGTTATTTATGGGATAGATGTGCTGCTGAGTTTCAAATGTATACTTATACGCATATCACACATATATACATATCTACATACATACATATCCTACATCGGAAAACTAACTAAGTGGCAAAAAGTGCAATATAATTCACTTATGTTGCTGCTGTTTTGCAGGATTTGAAGTTATTGGGTTACTTCATTGCATACAATCGGAACAAGTTTGAGTAAAAAGCACCAGATTTTTTTTTTTAATTTATTATCAATGTATTTACTAATATCAAATTAACTTTGCTTGCAGTTGTATTATTTTAATTAATTTGACTTGCTTTTATATATTTTTAACTGCAAAAATCTTATGCTGCCTGCAACCCAGAGAATTGGATGACAATTTGATCAACAGCCTACCAGAGGGATTGAACAAACTAACGCATTTGCAAGAACTGTAAGTAAAATTTTCATCATTAACTGTTTTACCAGAAACAACGTTAACCTCGACTGCACCGACGGTATAATACTCTTCACAGCTGCATCTCTTACGTATAAATAAATTTGAAATTCTATGTTAGGGTCCGCTCTGAAAAATATGCGCGAAGAATATAGCGTTGTCTTTAACAATATCAAATTTCGTGAAGATATCTTGTCTAATAAAAAATTTTTCCATACAAGAACTTGAATTTGAATGTTCAGCTTTTATGGCAGCTATATGCGATAGTGATCTGATATCGGTGGTTCCGAAAAATGAGCAGCTGCTACGGTGGTAAAGATCGAGTGCAAAATTTCATATCGATATCTCAAAAATTGAGATTATAAAATATTATTTATAAGGACTTCGAAGTTGCTTTCTCATGGCAAACGTAATATACACTTTTAAAAGTATAGTGACAAAAAAAGGCTTAAGCTACTAAATATAAAAGTAACCAATGAGAGAGAGAGGTGAGAGAATAACTCTTCGATAGCAATTAAGTGAACCAAAACGATTCTCTCGGCTTGTAAATTTCTTTTTCTACTATTTAAGTCATTTTCATTCGCATCTTCTTCTCCATTAACTTTTATAATTTTTGGCCGTAAATTGTCTTCAGTTATTGGCAGCTCATGTTGCTCATACGTCCTGTAGTCACTTGGAGACCAACTGCTGCTATGAGTTGCAGGCGCTTGTTTTGCACATGTAGGATTGCCTATGCATAAAATATGTAATAACAAAGTACAAAGCTACATTAATAGGAGACTATTATGCAGCCATAACTTCCTACTTGCTGGTAATACATATATCACATGACACCTTCAGCAGCTGACTATGACATAACGTAATTTCAATGCACTTGACTTAAGCATCAATGGGCGTAATTTCAAATTAGTGTAAATCCCAAGCTATTGCCACAAGCTGTTGCTAAAGACAAATATCGAAGCAACATTTGGTTGTTGACAACAAATATATGGGTACATATTCGCACATAGGCGCATATATATATATATATTAGGGTAGAGCGAAAAAATTTTTTTTTTTTTTTTGCTCAGCCTGAGGGAAGAATCTGTAGATTATAAAAAAAGAAAATTTTTGGACAAAAAAAAAATTTGTGTAGTCCTCAGTTTTAAAGTAAATTTCGAGTTCAAACTTTTTCTGGACAAGAAAAAATTATTTTTGGCTTAAACTCTTTACATCTACATAAAAATTACCATATTCGATGGTTTTTGACTCAAAATTTATTTCCGTTGTCGTTTAAGACTTTTTTTTAAAACTCCGATAATGACCACAAAAAAAATTTTTAAGTTGATAACTTTTAAGTAGCTAGAAAGAAGACTCTGCACAGCTTCTAGAACACTTATCAAAAATTTTTTACGAAATAAAAATTTTAACTCGAAAATTTACTTTTAAACTGAGACGGTCTCTAGATGTTTAAAAAAAAAATTTGTTTTTGTCCAAACATTTTCTTATTTTATAACCTACAGATTTTGCCCTCAAGCTGAGCAAAAAAACAAAACAACATTTTTTCGCACCACCCTAATATATATATATATATATACAGTTACAAATACGGGTAGTACAAGTCTGTTTACAGTATCTAAACGGGTGTAAGAAATATCAATGGATACGTGCACACATGCAGACTGTATAATTCAGCTGACACGGTAAGCTATGTCGCTCATATCGATTGTTAGCTCTACTAACTTCACTGCAGCATGCTGTCAAGATAGAAACATTCATACACAAGTGCTGTAAATATGACTCAGTGCTGTGTGTATATGTGAGGGGTGAGGAGTCAATTTACACATACATTCAAGTACTTGTAAATATTTTCCTGTTAGCTTTTTATAGCTGCTCATTGCAGAAACATGTGATTCAAGCGTCTTAATTAATATATAACAACAAATTAATTTATGTTGACGCATTAACTTAATTCCAGCTGGAATGCTGCAAGGACAGTGAAATTATTTCAGACACTGCTAAGAATTTAGGCCAAAAACCAAGTGATATAAATGAAAAAAATGGTAATTGCGCAAGCATTCACTCACGAACTAATGCACTCGAAAGCAAAACATCAGTATGTGTCGTGTAACTACACATGCAAAAACAAAATTGCTCTTCCACTAACAACATACACACTGCATCGCAATCTCGCTAGCGCCCACACCGCCATTGACACGATTTGCTCAAGCGGAATGCATAAATGAGATTAAAAGTGGAAATATCAAAACTTCTTCTTCTATTACAAAACAAAGCGAAATAAGAAGAAAATAGGATCAAACACAGTGTTCGTATGCGCTTAGCGCATTCCCTACAGTAGCATGAAATATGTGACAACAGACACTGGGGAGCGACAACAAACACATGCTCGCACACACAGCGACAGCAAAAGATTGTGATATGAACTTGTAGCAGCAACATGACGCAGTGTTGACGACAACGCTTGTATGTGTCTTCATGCGGCGTCAACGCTTGCACCCACTTCGGCGGCGGCATGCTGCAGTTGCAATCATAACGTGTTATTTCATTGCATATTTACGAGCGCCATATTAAATGATGCAGCAAGAATTTGTACACTTCTGTGCTCCGGCGATAGACATTCTTCGGATTTTAACTTTTTTTTTGTAATTTACAACAGCTTGTTGAAAGTAGCAGCAAGCTTACAATGTTAGGTTAGATTAGATTATAGCGTTGGACTTGAATAGCTGTGCACGTTGTTTGCTTGTGCAAGTAATACCCAAAACTCCTATAAATGGAAGCGTTTTTAGCTTACAACAAATTTCTTAAGGCGGTTAATATCAATGCCAGCCACTTCCTAGGTTCGCCGCCGGTGTGTCTACCGTGATATTTCAATCTCAATCTGATAAAAGCTAAGCAATCGAGGCGAAAGTGCTTATACGATTCCACCTCGCCTTCTTCCATACAGTTTTGGCAAAAAGCGTCCGAAAAAATATTTGCACGCACCGCGTCTGAACAGTGTTTAGTCAATATACCTAAAATTACGGCAAGATCGACTTTGCTAAGGGCAAATCGTTCAGAGAACCTCTTACGGTTCACTCTGGGTCAGCGGAATCACGCAGCGACACAATTTCTGGTTGTTGAACAGCGCTTGCAAAGCTCACGCGAGTTTTGCAGGTCCAACATTGTTTGCGCTAAATCTATATAGAGTTATATGAGGCTATACTAATATAAGGCTAAAATTGTGATTGTTATAAATAAAATTTTGATTTTATTATGTATCAGAAATAAAGATTTTGATAACAAAGTTTAATAAACATTCTCTTTAATATAATCAGTGTATATAAGTTGCCTTCAATTCGTTTAGCGTAGCGAATCGAACATACCATACCAGTTGTGCAAACAAACTGGTTGTTTAGTACTTGAGTTGCATCTCTCTTTTTACTCTAACATTTTTTATTTATTAAAACTATTAAGTGCTATTAATTTGCTACACTAAATTGAATCATTCACAAACTTAGAATTGGTCTAAAATGTGTAAAGTAAAACTTGAAGTTGAAGTTTTACTTTACACCGGAAAAACTTGAACACTGAAAAAAGCATTACTGATATATCAGCACTCTCTCTTGTAATGAATTCAACTCGCTAACTGAGTTATTGCTTTGATAGCAAGCAGAGCAATGGCGAATCGAAAACGGCTATAGACCTGTAAAACATTCTTATCAAAAATGTTTTATACACTAGAAGATGCGGTACAAGAAACTATGGGATTGAAATTGAATTTTCGCATAATAAAAATATGAAAATCGTAAACTAAAACAATATTAAACAAGTTATAATAAAAAACAAAAAAAAAAATTTATGGCGAATTTCAATAACTATTTTAGCGAGAAAAACCTGAAGCTTAAAAAATATTGCCTTCTTTTGTCTCCGCAACAGATAAGGCTTTAAATTGACTGTAACTGCTACTGAGCGTGCAATTCCAGGACAGCTTCTTCTTTCACCGCCAAATCGGAAGCAAGCATTGCCAAACGAAGCGTGTCGACTCAAATTGCAGTCGACAGCCAAATATTGTATAAACATGCGTATGCGCAGGCATAAACAGTTTATAAAGCGGTGCACACAAACTCACATTTCCCATTGCACATGCACTCCACGTAATAAAATGAAAACACCCAGCAGAATTGAATCAGAGCACCAGGTTTTATTTTCTTTCTTTTTTTTTTTGTTTTAATAGAGGAGGAAATAAATTAACGTTTTCCGGGCTAAGGTGTCTCGCTCTGGGTATGTCGCACTTGAACATTAGTCTGGTGACTTACTAATGTTAATACCGACTAAAACCTCCCATTTCATCTGTTAATTTCGACTCGTTTAGTTTTTGCTATGCTGGCTTACAGAACTGACGACAGGGTCTTTGCATCTTCACCAACACTGTCATAATTTAAAATTTTCATGAATGTATGCTCTTCCGGTTTTGCGAGTTCAGTTTTCCACTCATACTTACTGAGCGGTAAACAGGATAATTACGACAATGTTAAATGCAGCAATAAGAATGTGTTTAAAATGCAACACTGAAGGTTGCGTCAGCGACGAAGTCATATACTTGCTCGTCATACAACAATTCTGTTTTTTTTTTTTGGGTGTGTGTGTGGAGTTGAAGTTTCGACGCCAAGTTTGGTGCACGTACATTTAGTTGAATACAATCGTAAAGTAAACAATATGTTTTCAATTGAGTTTACTTACCGAAACTATCTTCTCGTAGGTATTGAGCTCTTGTGCGCTTTTTCGCTTTTTTATGTGATAAATTCTGTAAAGTGTGTTTCTATTTCCAGATCAGTTACCAGCAATCGCTTGCGTTGGATAAATGAAACGGATTTGCCGAGAAATTTACAAACGATTGATTTTCGTGCGAATCCCCTTTCCATAATCATGCTGAAAGCGCTGCGTGGCATGACGAGATTGCGAAAATTGTGAGTAACAACAACAGCAAATTTATTACAACTTTCGATCTATGTTAGTGTAAGTACATACTCCATTAATTTATTATTATTTTTATGCAATTGCATTAGAATTCTTTCCGATGTGCGTTCACTTAAGGTTTTTCCCGACCTCGAAGGCTGCTTCTCGTTGGAGGTTATAAAACTAGATCGCGCCGGTATCAAAGAAGTACCAGCCAATTTGTGTCGTCAAACACCAAGACTGAAAAGCTTGTAAGTCCCAGAAATAAAAATTTATATCCTATACACTGTCTTTTTAAATAGTTTAACATTAATTTTTGAACTTCTTTCAGAGAGCTAAAAACGAATTCCTTAGTGCGCATTCCCAATTTAGCCAATTGCAGAGAATTAAGACTGTTGTAAGTAGTAAAAGGTTGCCTTCCTTAAATATACACAATAATATTCGCGTTTCTTTTCAGAGATCTTTCGAGTAATTACATTGAATCTCTTAGTGGGCGACCCTTCGCCGGCCTTAAACAACTCCATGATTTGGTGCTCTCATACAATCGCATAAAAGCGATACCTTACGATGCCTTCTTTGGCATACCACGGTTACAGTTGTTGTATGTGTAAATTATATTAAAACAATTTGATACAGTTTCATATATCTCAAACCTTATTGCTGTTAGAAAATATTCTAAATTTTTATTTCATTTAGTTTAATTAATTTCGTTTTGATTTTATTCTGTGTATCATTACTATCCCTTTCACTCCATACCACACAAATTCGTTCCATTTTACCACTTTCTCAACATCTGCGTCCAGTCTTTAAACACCGCTTAATCGATTTCTATCTTAACTTTTGTAACCACCTTCCTTTTCATTAGAGACCTAGAAGGCAACGAGATCACCGTTATACACAAAGAAGCCTTTATGCCTTTCGCCAAGTTGGAAGACCTAAATTTGGGCAATAATATTTTCCCCGAGTTACCGTCGGCTGGTCTAAGCAAACTGCTGCATTTAAAGACTTTCAACAATCCGAAGCTGCGCGAGTTCCCAGCGCCCGACACCTTTCCACGCATTCAAACGCTCATACTTTCGTACGCTTACCATTGCTGCCCCTTCATACCGTTAGTGGCGATGTCGGCAGCCAAGAAACCGCCACTTGTACAAGAAGCGGTGCTCTTTCCATCCGATTCGGAGTTCGACATGAGCTTGTGGAACAATAGCATGATGGATATTTGGCCGCAGCTGCGTAAGTGATATTTACACGCTTCAAAAAATTTGATATTACATAAGTTTTTCTCTCCTACAGAAAATCTCAGCAAAAAGTTTGGCAACCAAATGCACGACATTTGGGATAATTTCGGGCAAGACTTTAACTACCCCGGTAATATTCCAACTTATGTCGAGGAATACTTCGAGGAAGACGGCACAGGCACTACGACGAGCTCAATGGGCATGACCGGCAGCAGTTTTGCCGGTTTCAGTAATGGTCTCTTCGGCACAATGGACATCGACGTAGCACCAGGCTCCATACAATGTCTACCCATGCCGGGTCCGTTTTTGCCCTGCTCCGATCTATTCGATTGGTGGACTTTGCGCTGTGGCATTTGGGTTGTTTATCTACTGGCATTGCTAGGTAACGGTACTGTCATTATAGTGCTGTTGTTTTCACGTTCCAAAATGGACGTGCCGCGATTTCTGGTGTGCAATTTGGCTGCCGCAGATTTCTTAATGGGCATTTACCTCGGCACACTAGCCATTGTAGACGCTGGCACATTGGGGGAGTTTCGCAAGTTCGCCATTCCCTGGCAGATGTCGCGCACGTGCCAGTTTTCTGGTTTCATGGCAGTGCTGTCATCAGAATTGTCGGTTTACACGCTAGCGGTGATTACCTTAGAACGTAATTATGCGATAACCCACGCGATACACCTCAATAAGCGTCTATCGCTGCATCAAGCCTCATACATCATGGCTGCGGGTTGGACCTTTGCGCTAATCATGGCCACTTTACCGTTGTTGGGCGTGTCAGATTATCGAAAGTTTGCCGTGTGTCTACCATTTGAGACCACAACCGGCGTGGCTAGTTTAACCTATGTCATTGCGTTGATGTTCATTAACGGTTGTGCTTTCTTGACGCTTATGGGCTGCTATTTGAAAATGTACTGGGCAATACGTGGCTCACAGGCCTGGAATAGTAATGACTCACGCATAGCTAAACGAATGGCACTTCTTGTTTTTACCGATTTTCTTTGTTGGTCTCCCATAGCTTTCTTTTCTATCACTGCCATATTTGGCCTGCAACTAATCACATTAGAGCAAGCCAAGATATTTACAGTATTCGTGCTGCCATTAAATTCATGCTGCAATCCATTTCTCTATGCCATTATGACGAAACAATTCAAGAAGGATTGCATAACCCTGTGCAAACACTTTGAAGAGACGCGTGTTACCCGCGGTGCTGTTGCCGCTAACACAGCACTAGCCGGTGGTCTAAGCCGGCGTGGCGGTGTGCGCATGCCGAAAGAACTCCCGCCCTTGTTGCCTGCCGCACATCCACCCGGTTGTCGTTGCTTGCGCATGATGCCCAATGAAATGCCAAATTGGCACAAATTACAGAAGCGCGATCAAAGGCATGACTCGTGGATATGCATTACTTGGCATCGTTTAGCAATCTGTTGTCATTGCACCGATCCGGACGATGATGACGATGATGATGTATTGACACCAGAGAGACGCCGTCTCGACGGACGCCGAACACGTAAAACGAACAAATCGAATCATCGCCACGCGCGTACACATTCGCACAATGCCAATACCGAACCGTACCTTTATCAGTTCGCTGAGTTGAAGCAGAAACAGAAGCAGACACGCGCCAGCTCGATATCTAGTGAGAATTTCTGTTCGTCACGTTCATCTAGTTGGCGCAATGGACCACCATCGGCAGGCACGCTACCGCACACTTGCAACATACCACTCAAAATGATGGATCCGAATCGTCGAAGACATTCGGCGTGGCTGATTACACGAAAAACATCGCAAGACTCGAATTTGTCGAGCTCCCGCAATGACAGCTCAGCTTCAGCCACAACGGCTAGTACATCCACGTTCCGACTGTCGCGTTCAAGTGCGGGCAGTACGACGCCACTACCATCAATTATGGGTAAGTCCTTTACTTTCAATATACTTACAAGCTTCATCAACAATTTGCTTCATGTTTCAGCGCACAGCAGCAAATCACAGCAACAGCAACTGCAGCAACATTCGACAATACCCTCCAAGCCACGCCTTGTGCGTCAAGAGGCAGTGCAAGAGGAGGAAGACTCATCGCCACCACGTCTTGGTGTTCGTTTTCTGCCAACCATACCATCAGCAGCCGATAGTTCCATTGTCATGGAAGATGGCGATTCAGCCATGAATGTCGCCAGCGTTATGGGCATGCCGCTACCGGGCGCAGCAAGCGGCTTCTACACTGTACTACAGGCGCAGAGCGGCGGCGCCGCAAAAACAGTACTCACCACCGCGACGAGCCCACCCAAAGAGGAACATCCGCCATGACACTGCTTCGTGTGCAGAAGCGAGAATAAACACAAATCGGAACCACCAAAAAGTGATAACAATGTTAAACGTTGTATTAGTGAGGCATTTCTTTGACGCTTTTATTGCGTGTACTAACCATGTAATACATATAAAAGTAGTTACCATTATTTATAAATTATATATTGTATTGATTAAGTGCAACAATTACAAAAACATGTAGGTAGTCAATTTGAACAGTAGCCGTTAGAAATGCGTGTTTGTATGTTTGTACGTATATATTTAGCCCTAAGCTGCATAAAAAATTAATCAGGTTTATCGCTTGAATTACACAAGATGTTTGTATCTATGTATATATGTAATGCTGAGCACTTAACATGACTTAACTGACTAAGCTCCGCTACCTGTTGAGCCAACATAAGACCTTTTTTTGCACACTATTTTGAAAACATCATCCCCTCAGCAGATTCGTATTCTTACTTCAATTCACCCTTTCCCCTTTTGTGTACTTATATGGTTAAAGTGCACTTCTCCTGTGAAGTTGTCGTCCAATATTAAAGCTTTAATTAGAATTTAATCGATTTTTAATTTGTTTTTTATTTATTCAAAATATGCAAAAATAATAATAATTTCCAACAATTTTCGAGTATACATATGTATATTTTAACCATACCATATACAATATATGCAGCAATGTTATATATTATTTACTCAGATCAACGAGGGAGAGATACTCGAAAGCTTACTAAGCATCACTTGTTGTAACTTTTATGATGAAATCCGCTAACCTACGCTTATGAAATTCTTTGCTCGCTACCTTTGAAAAAAGTTTTCAAATCTTTTTTTATTTAAAATATCGGTATTAATGTAATATATAGTTTTATCTGCTGTGTGCTTTTATTAATGTATATAGCTGTAAGTCTAAAGTGATAGTATTTCTAAGAAATACTAAATAAGAAATACTCATAAGCAAGTCTAGGTATATAAAAACACGAATTAAATGAAAAAAATATATATGCAAATATATATTAATGTGTATATGTAAAAAAAATAAAAACTATGAAAAATTACGATTATTTTATCGCATATTCTTGAATAAATTTCAGTTTTGTACAACGCTAGCAGGCCTTCAAATTCAAAACCGCATATTTTTATAACAGCCCAATTTTTTCAAGGCGCTTTCGCACTAGTTCCAACTTGACGTCTTGCGGAAGTGGTAAGAGGAAACTATTTATACCATGAAGAGGGAATATTAAGCTTACCACGAAGTTTGTAACACCCAGAAGGTTACGTTGGAGACCCCTTAATATATATACATATATATATACATTAGGGTGAGCCGAAAACTTTGTTAAGAAAAATTTTTTACTTTGTTAAAAAAAAATATTTTCGTTATTAATAATGAAAATTCTAAAAAAACGGATTTTCGGCCCACCCTAATATACATGATTAGCGTGTTGAGGTGAATCGTTTGAGCCATGTCTACCTGTCTTCAAATAATGCAATGTAATGCGATATAGTCCCAAAATTTTTGAGATATAGATATTAAATTTTGAGCATATTCTTTTCTTTCCAATCAGCTGCTGATTTGTTGGAACCGCCGTTATCGTTACATACTAAACGATCAAAATTAAGTTATTGAATGGAAACTTTTTTTTATGAGATAGCTTAACAAAATTTGACTTGGATTATTGTCTAGGGCAACAGTACAATCTCTGAAAAAATTGAACATATCGCATTACTACGGCATATAACTGCCAGACAAACTAAAACAAGTTCTTGTATGGAAACTTTTTTATTTGTGAAGTGCTGCCAAGTATTAATATATTTACTATTAATTTTTATACAGAGACTCATACACTGAAAGTTTATACCGTTATCGCATTACTGTTAAGGAAATTTTAGTTTCAAGTTTATATGAAAATTGTCGCATATAAAAAAGCTCTTAAAAAATAAATTTTCTTTCCCAAACCAAAAAATTTTAACTTTTTATAGATAATATTAAAAATTTAATTAGGCCTGTGAATGAGTAAAAGTATAAAAAACAACAAAATCATAGTTAATATTAAATTTATGATTTAACAAAGTCTTTGTTGAATTGCTTTTTTTTTTTGGTTTCGTACATATATTTACAGTTTTAACTGGTTGCTATGAACCTGAGACTATCTTTGATTTTAAAGAGAGAGAAGTCTGGGCTAAGTTTCTGTTCAACTTTATTAAACTTTAAAGACTCGAAAAATAATTTCCTTTTAAATTTTGAAAAACTAGGCAGCTTGGTTGCGATCATTGATTAACTTTAAATTATCTCGGTGCTAATTTAAGAGCCATCTGAAAAAATTCTTCAAACCCTTTTAACTTTTCCTCACTAGTTTTGCCGGCTTTAAAACGCTCATACCAATCACCCAGACGCCGGTGCTCCTTCTGCTGCACTTCGCTTAGCGCATTCCAAAACTGCTCAAAAGCTATGTTGAATTTCCGCACTGCACTATCAATAGCGTTGTGCACATGAAAATTCAGTTCGAGCAACTGCAATTTATCGAGCACTTTCTTCAAGACGTTAAGCTCTCTGTCGTCGTCTTTGCGCTCTACTATGTTGTCAAAATCTGCATACAAAACGCTGATGTCAGTTATTAGTGATTTTCTGTCTTCCAAAGCCGGATCATTCAAACGCGCCAATATGTTGGTCAAGCGTGGTTTGAGCTCTCGTATGTAGTCGTTTTCCTCGGGCAGCGTTTTCAGCTCCTTCAGTACGCCATCGACAAAACGCGCAGTCTCCGCTATGAGCGTGTTGAGGTAATTTTGTACGCCATCGAGGGTTGTCACAATCACCGGCTCGAGCGCTTTGACAAAATTTGTTTCATTTGAGCTAGATATTTCGGTTTGCTGCAATTCATTTAGCTTTGTGTCATTCTCCGCCTGTGCCGTGACGTCGTTCTGAAGGGGGTGCGCGACGATGAGCTGCTAGGAAAGTGAAATTCTTTATTATAACTGCATTATTAAATTTTCACTGTATTTCACCTGGAGCGTTAAGTATATGCAGAGCAGCAGCAGACCCGTTGATTTCTCCATATTTTTAAGACTTTTCTTCCGCAGTCGTTCTGAGGTAACTGAAAGGTACTGTTAAATAGCATTATTTATATATTCACTCAGCGTTGAAAGCAGTGAAAAAATTACTCACTCAATTATAATTGTTTCATGCTAAATATAAGCTCTACTAAGAAATACTTAAACACCTTAAGCCCACTTCGAGTTCGCTAACCGGTTTTCAACTCTTAGATTGACTAATGTACTATAACCATAATTGATAAAATGACATGTAATCGAATACATGCAGGTATTACCGAAGATGCTTCGAAGAATCATCTTAAAATATAAACATAAAATATAAACAGTTAGTTAACCGAAAGATGACAGATGTACTGAATAGATTGTCTGATGTTAAAAGTTTCCAACAACAACGTTACAGATATTTTCGATATCTAAAATGGCTTTTTCAATATAAATTCAAATAAAATTGTAAGAAATTATGATTAAGCGACCTGGAGGGCGATGCTATAAATTATTAACTACTTTATATACCCAAAATCAAATTTTCCAAAATAAAAAAATTCAACAGCTTCGATAATAGTATGCCTGCATGCGTCTACAATCTCTGGTTCTCGCATCCACGAACTCTACTCTACTTAATTGAGGATAAATACAAATGACTATGACTGTAGATATAAAAGCACACTCTCGTGAACTCAAACATTTGTAAACAATCTTACAACTAGATTTTTGTGCTTTTCTGACTGGATCGTTTTGAGTTCGAAGAGGGCAATTGACCTTCGGAGTTTTCGCATTGGTAAAATTTCAAGCAAAAATTTGTTTCTTTTAAAGTTTTGTATACATCCACATATCAGAGTTTTCTTTTCGACTTGCGCTCGGTTTATGTACAAAATCGGCTGAAAAACAGCATCAGGCTTAATAAGCGGCAGCTTATTGTAGAATAATTAGATCAATTGCATTTTCATTTGTCTATGAAGCGTGACGATGCGCTTCGAAGTCTCACAAAGAGCTACGCGCTCAACTTCCGCTTAAATGGTAATCACATTACTACAAACTTATTATCGATTCGCCGACAAATATTTGTTTCAGCACAGAGGTCAGAGAATGGATCATGATTTTATAATATAACCCGATATACATATATATTATATAATGCTATAGTATAGTATATATATATGGCAATTTATATACCCAGATAAGTTGTAATCAACTACGCTTAGGAGACAGTTTTTCGGTAAAAGTGTTCTTACTAACGAAAAGTTTCTCATAAATACGCAATATAAAATTACTTTGTAGCCCCCCTTGCAAAATATTCTTACTTCGATGCCATAGTGAACTTCGTATGCCGTGGCAGTAGCGATAAGCGCGAACAAAGCCGAGCTTTGGCAAATCTATTTCATAATATTTAAACATACATTAATTATCATTATGCGAACGGATGTTTGTGTTTCTGCAAAGATTACTCCAAATGAAAGAATGAAAGGAAAGAAACGGATTATAAATATATGCTTATACCATATATGATTTATATATACATATATAGTGCACCAACACATACATATGTGCGTAGATGAAATGTTCACAAATAAAACTATTGTCGGGACGAAAGCTATTCGTGGACTTTTCTGCACAGATTTTTTGTAAGTATGTGCCGTTATTTTACATATACATGCAATTTGCAGATATTATATTTATATACTAGCATTGCTAATAATATTTATAAGTACAGATTTGTGCATGCGTGTGTGTACTAGCGCTAATACAATATTTCCACGATCGGAATAATATTGCACGGTTCCTTCGAATATCGAAATCAGTTGGATTTTGAACGTGTCGCGGCTTGTTTATTACTAACGGAAGAGCAAATAATAAGATATAACGGAAAAATGTCCTTATCTAATTTGTGGTTACAACTGCTCCTGCTTGGCATGATAAGCTACGCATTGGCAAGTGAGTGCACAACGAGAAACCGCAATGGAACTCATAGGGTTTGTTGTATAGGATACAAACCATATGGAAATGGATGTAAAGCTTACTGCTCAGAGGGCTGTTTCAATGGGAAGTGCGTCTTGCCGAATAAGTGTGCGTGTAACCACGGCTACGTGAAAAAAAATAAATCTCGGTAGGTGCACAAAGTGTTGTGAAAAAATAAAGTTTTAAAAATAAAATGTATATCGGAACTGATTATATAGTATATCACTTACTACAATTATAAAAAGTTGTGTCGATTTTTCTTTAAATAAAATTGCGCAAAACCACTTTTTCTCCAACAGTTGCATACCACATTGCGATAAGTGTACCAGAGGCACCTGCACTGCGCCGAATGTATGTAAATGCAGTACCGACTATGTGTGGAGCGCAACTGGCGACTGCGTGCCCGTTTGTAATCCACCCTGCAAAAACGGTGAATGCATTGAGCCAAACAAATGCAAGTGTTTGCCGGGCTATAAAAAAAATACCAAAGGTGATTGTGAGCCAATGTGTAAAAATGGCTGCAAGAATGGTGTCTGTCAAGCGCCAAATCAGTGCATATGCAAAAGCGGCTACAAAAAAGATGTAAGTGATCGGTGTCAGCCGATTTGTGAAAGCGGCTGCGGACATGGCATATGCCGTGCCCCAAATCTATGCGAGTGTGTCAAAGGGTACCAAAAATCAAACAATAAAACGTGCGTCCCGTTTTGTATTGATGAATGCATCAATGGAAATTGCGTAGAGCCAAATTTTTGTAAATGTCAGCAAGGGTACGAAGAAGCGTCGAAAAATATTTGCACACCTATCTGTGAACAACATTGCGTTAATGGCAAGTGCATTGCACCAAACCAGTGCGCATGTAATAAGGGCTATGAAATGCTAAACGAAAAATGTACACCAATCTGCTCCAGTAGATGTAAAAATGGTCGGTGCGCTGCGCCAGAAACCTGTGAGTGCAACAAGGGATATATTCTGAGTGCTCCGAACGTCTGCGATCCAGTGTGTACAGCGGTTGTCCGAATAGTCGCTGCATTGAACCAGAAATCTGTGAGTGCAACAAGGGATATATTGTGAATGCTACAAACGTCTGCGATCCAGTGTGTACAAGCGGTTGTCCGAATGGTCGGTGCGCTGCGCCAGAAACCTGTGAGTGCAATAAGGGATACATTCTGAGTGCTCCGAACGTATGCAATCCAGTTTGCACCAGCGGTTGTCCGAATGGTCGGTGCGCTGCGCCAGAAACCTGTGAGTGCAACAAAGGATATATTCTGAGTGCTCCGAACGTATGCAATCCAGTTTGCACCAGCGGTTGTGCGAATGGTCGGTGCGCTGCGCCAGAAACCTGTGAGTGCAACAAGGGATATATTCTGAGTGCTCCGAACGTCTGCGATCCAGTTTGCACCAGCGGGTGTCCGAATGGTCGCTGTATTGAACCAGAAACCTGTGAGTGCAACAAAGGATATATTCTGAGTGCTCCGAACGTCTGCAATCCAGTTTGCACCAGCGGTTGTCCGAATGGTCTGCCTGCGCCAGAAACCTGTGAGTGCAACAAGGATATATTCTGAGTGCTCCGAACGTTGCATCCAGTTTGCACCAGCGGTTGTCCGAATGGTCGGTGCGCTGCGCCAGAAACCTGTGAGTGCAATAAGGGATACATTCTGAGTGCTCCGAACGTATGCAATCCAGTTTGCACCAGCGGTTGTCCGAATGGTCGGTGCGCTGCGCCAGAAACCTGTGAGTGCAACAAAGGATATATTCTGAGTGCTCCGAACGTATGCAATCCAGTTTGCACCAGCGGTTGTCCGAATGGTCGGTGCGCTGCCGCAGAAACCTGTGAGTGCAAAAGGGATAATTCTGAGTGCTCCGAACGTATGCAATCCAGTTTGCACCAGCGGTTGTCCGAGGTCGGTGCGCGCCAGAAACCTGTGAGTGCAACAAAGGATATATTCTGAGTGCTCCGAACGTCTGCAATCCAGTTTGCACCAGCGGTTGTCCGAATGGTCGGTGCGCTGCGCCAGAAACCTGTGAGTGCAACAAGGGATATATTCTGAGTGCTCCGAACGTATGCAATCCAGGTGCACCAGCGGTTGTGCGAATGGTCGGTGCGCTGCGCCAGAAACCTGTGAGTGCAACAAGGGATATCGTCTGAGTGCTCCGAACGTCTGCGATCCAGTTTGCACCAGCGGTTGTCCGAATAGTCGCTGCATGAACCGAAACTGTGAGTGCAACAAGGATATATTCTGAGTGCTCAACGTCTGCGATCCTGTGTTACAAGCGGGTTGTCCGAATGGTCGGTGCGCTGCGCCAGAAACCTGTGAGTGCAATAAGGGATACATTCTGAGTGCTCCGAACGTATGCAATCCAGTTTGCACCAGCGGTTGTCCGAATGGTCGGTGCGCTGCGCCAGAAACCTGTGAGTGCAACAAGGGATATATTCTGAGTGCTCCGAACGTATGCAATCCAGTTTGCACCAGCGGTTGTCCGAATGGTCGGTGCGCTGCGCCAGAAACCTGTGAGTGCAATAAGGGATATATTCTGAGTGCTCCGAACGTCTGCGATCCAGTTTGCACCAGCGGTTGTCCGAATGGTCGGTGCGCTGCGCCAGAAACCTGTGAGTGCAACAAAGGATATATTCTGAGTACTCCGAACGTCTGCGATCCAGTTTGCACCAGTGGTTGTCCGAATGGTCGGTGCGCTGCGCCAGAAACCTGTGAGTGCAACAAGGGATATATTCTGAGTGCCAAACGTATGCGATCCAGTTTGCACCACGGTTGTCCGAATGGTCGTGCGCTGCGCCAGAAACCTGTGAGTGCAACAAAGGATATATTCTGAGTCTCCGAACGTCTTCGATCCAGTTTGCACCAGGGTTGTCCGAATGGTCGGTGCTGCGCCAGAAACCTGAGTGCAACAAGGGATATATTCTGAGTGCTACAAACGTATGCGATCCAGTTTGCACCAGCGGTTGTCCGAATGGTCGGTGCGCTGCGCCAGAAACCTGTGAGTGCAATAAGGGATATATTCTGAGTGCTCCGAACGTCTGCGATCCAGTTTGCACCAGCGGTTGTCCGAATGGTCGGTGCGCTGCGCCAGAAACCTGTGAGTGCAACAAGGATATATTCTGAGTACTCCGAACGTCTGCGATCCAGTTTGCACCAGTGGTTGTCCGAATGGTCGGTGCGCTGCGCCAGAAACCTGTGAGTGCAACAAGGGATATATTCTGAGTGCTACAAACGTATGCGATCCAGTTTGCACCAGCGGTTGTCCGAATGGTCGGTGCGCTGCGCCAGAAACCTGTGAGTGCAACAAAGGATATATTCTGAGTACTCCGAACGTCTGCGATCCAGTTTGCACCAGTGGTTGTCCGAATGGTCGGTGCGCTGCGCCAGAAACCTGTGAGTGCAACAAGGGATATATTCTGAGTGCTACAAACGTATGCGATCCAGTTTGCACCAGCGGTTGTCCGAATGGTCGGTGCGCTGCGCCAGAAACCTGTGAGTGCAACAAAGGATATATTCTGAGTGCTCAAAACGTCAAGGATATCTGTGTTGCCAGCATTCCTGCCGGAACTGAATTTCTGAAATCTTTTCGATCGTACATCATACTCGGAGTGCTTTCGCTACCACTGGCGTTTTTAGTGTTGTTTTTTCTTTGTCGTATTAGTTGTGAAAACACTTACAATGTGGCGAAAAGAGGTAAGAACTGTTAAGAAGCTAAGCTTCGTGTACAATCAAATTCTATTCTATTGACTGCTACTTGTATTCTTACAGAAAACCAGGTTGGACTAAAAAACATGTCGCGGAATGTGGACGTTGTACGAATTCCTTAGTAAAAAGTGGTTGCGGATGTGTATATGTGTATATTTCAACGTTGATATTCAAAATAGTCGTCATATTTATAATTAAGTAGTATAGGTAAAGAAGCAAAATTAAAGTGTTATAAAATATTGTTACAAATGTATCAGTTCAATATTCTAAGCACAGTTAAACTGTGGTAAATACATATAATTTTTATTTACAGAGGCTCACGCCTTTCTCCTCTACAACTTCAATTTAAATAGGTATTAAGCAGAATCAATCAGATCTTTTTGGTGCAAACTGTATTTAATTAGGGTACTCTTTAAACATAAGACGGTTAATATTAAACCCTATGAGTAAACACTCATTTTCAATTACATAATTTTCTTAAAACTAATAAAGGGGTTTTTTAATATTTTCGGAGCTTTTTGATCACAATTTCACCATACTAGAGAACGATTTTATTAGCACATCTTCGATCAGCTCTCCTCGTCATCCTGCACATTGAGGCCATCTTCTTCTCCCGCGCCTGGCATTACAATGCCGAACGTTGGGTTTTCTATCAATCGCACGCCGTGCTTCTCCCGGAAACGTCTCCGCGCATATTCACGATATACTAATATTAAAGCCAGTCCACATAAGGCAACAAGTAAGAATACCATTGTGCCGATAGTCCAGCGCGAAACCGAGACGCCACTATAATATTAAACATAGTATCATTTTATATAATTCATCACAAACTGTCGTTATCTAGTTATCTATCTTACCTCAGCGCTATGTGTTCCTCCACAGAACCCAACCTGGAAACACATGCCCCACGTCGCTCGTTGTAAATCATACCTTCTATGCATTGACATATACCGTTTACATCACATTTTCCATTCAAACAGTTCCACTCATTACAATAGGCTACGCAAACCGGCAGATCGGTGTCATTGCTTAGCTTAAGGCGATAACCGAGATCACAACTGCAAGCGTTCGGTCCAATACATTTGCCGTGACCGCAGTCCTGTTCACATGACGGCGCACACTCCGTGCGGCTGTCATTGAGGAACTTATATCCTTCAAGGCAAACACACTCATCCGGCCGCAGACACTCAGCGTTAATACAAGTCTCTTTGCAGATCGCCTGACAACGGTGCGGTTCGCTGGAGTTCGTCACACGATAACCATCGCTGCACTGGCACTTATTGGGCGCCACACACTTGCCATTCTCACACGACGGCCGACAATGTGCGACACAATAATTGTGATGACGTGTCTCCGAATAACCACTCCAGCAATCGCACATGTCCGGCTCAACACAATTGCTATTGATGCACTGCGGTAGGCAAATGGGATCGCAGATGTTGTTTGATCCTTTGCGTAACCGGAAACCCTCGTAGCAACGGCACACACCGCCCGCCGCACAAATGCTGTTGATGCACTTTTGTGTACAATGCGGTTCGCAACGTCCTGTCAACCATTTTTTTGTATAACCTGTTTCACATTGGCAAATACCCGGTGCAATGCAGTGTCCATGTCCACAGTCGAAATTACAAACTGGTTCACACTCGTAAGGCCGTTCCGAATTCGGGCGATAACCGCTAAAACAGCGACAGGTGTCCGGTGCGGTGCATGTGCCATGGACGCAGGAGTGCTTACAGACTGGTATGCAAAGATAAAAGAGCAGCGATTGGTAGCCCGGCAAGCAACTGCATACACCTGGACTAACGCATTCACCGTTCTTGCAACCACGCGGACAATGCGGTTCGCATTCAGTAAGTGAGCCGTTCTTAAAGATGTAGCCCTCATTGCAAGTACACGTATTGGGCGCGCTGCAGTGTCCATTGATACAGTCCATTGCACAGTCGGGCTGGCAGACATGCGGCTCCACCTGTGTATAGCCCTGATGACACTCACAGTGGCCTGGTTCATCACAGAAACCATTGAGGCAGCCACGTGCACAAGTTGGCTCGCATACGGTGCGCGAGTCATTGCGATAGATATACCCCTCCAGACAGGTGCATTGGTTGGGTGAAGTACAATGTGCGTTTACGCATTTATCTATGCAGTTGGGCACACAGGCAAGTCCAATAAGGTTATAGGCGCCCTCCTGGCATTTGCAAACATTCGGTGCGATGCAATAGCCGTTGGGGCAGCCACCTTGACATACTGGCTCACACTTTCCCAAGGTGCCCAGCCGCAACTCATAACCGTTAAGACAGTGGCACTCGTTAGGAGCTTTACAAAAGCCATTCTCACAGGGCTCTTCACAGATAGGAGTGCACACATCCAGCATCTCGTTGCGCTCGTAGCCGAAATTGCACGTACATTTATACGACGAATCACAACGTCCATTTGTGCAATCCGTCAAACACCGCGTCTCGCATTCTGTGGTACTGCCGTTGATGAAATTGTAGCCCTCATTGCAGGCACACTTCTCCGGCTCAACGCATTGTCCATTAATGCAGGGTTCACTGCATTCCGGTTCACAGACGGTGGTATTCTTCAGATTGTTGTAGCCTTCGACACAGAGACATACATCAGGACGCACGCACTTGCCTCCCTTGCAGTCCACGCAGTTTGGCAGGCAGTCTCTGTGTGTGAGAAGAGAGTGTTGAGCTAATATGCGTAATATGGAGTTCAGTCTATAAAACATACCCGGTTTTTGCGTCTCTAATATAACCTTCGCAGCATACCTCGTCCATGTCCGTGTACGTCTGTAATCGAAAAAGATATGCGTTAGTATTTGCGTATTAACAGGTTAAGACTGTGCTCACCTCTTTGACTGTACGTAGCACCAAGGGGTTCTGAGTTGGGGTACAATTTGTACACTTCGCATCCACTGGATATTTGCGCATTGTCACGAGTGATACACGAGTTTTGGGTGTTCTGTGGTTCAAAAATTTGCTATTAAAATATACTTTTCCAGATTCTTAAATCACTAAAGAGTTTCGAATGGAGTAGTGGAAATCTGTCGTGAAACAAGCTATTCTTCGAAATTGACTTAAAATATCTGCAATTGAGAGATACAAATCCACAAGTAACTAATATAACGCTCTACTAAGTGCTTTAAGTTTACTAAACCGAAAAGTTAACCCCAAAAGAACTGCTTCCGTGTTTCCTGAACTATTTTACTTCCTATCCTGGCAGTTCACAATTAAATCAGTAAGTAACCGCCTTCCCGACGAAGCTACTTTCGTAGTTCCAACTACTTGATGCTACTGCTAGTATATTAGAATTCAGTATGTCTTTGCGATGATTCCTTCACGACAGGGGTATTTAATGCTCTGTCGAAATAATCTACTTTCGAAATTTTATTTTCATATTCGTATTATTCAATGAAGACAAACTTACGGCACTTTTACGACACATGCAGATACACATGTTACAAGCAGCAGAAAGCTTACAAGGAGCTGGTATACCGTATGAGTTTTCATTGTTTTCTTTTACTTAGCAGTGATGATCACCTGAGCTAAGAAATTCCGTTAAAAAAATATTTGTACAGAAACAACACTAAATTGCACAAATCGCAGTGATCTCGTTGGTTCCAAGGCGATTTCCTTGTACTTGCTTGCTTATTGAGTAGAACAGCCGCTTTCTGCGTCGGCACTCGTCACCGGAATGAATAAATCTGTTAAATTATAGAAATTATTGATAGCCATATGTAGACGCGCAAGACTGTTGGGTGGCAATCATTATCGGCTTATCTACGCGAAGAAGCGCTGTTTAAAAGAGTACTGCAAATAAAAGCAACAATCTGCTGCGGCAGAGGGCAATAGACCGCAAAAATCAATGAACTCGGAAAACAACAGAGCAGTGCTCCTTTTACAACGTATGTATATACAAGATGTCATTTGTATATATTATTGTGCCTTCGGTAGCGAAAATCGAAAGACAGCTATAACACTGGGTCATATGCAGACTACATGGCCATCTTAATAAAGGGAAGGTGCCTACTTACCATTAGCAGTATTATGACCACCACTCTCAATACAGTCCAGAATTGGGCATCGCAAGCGGGTCTGTGTTTGAACCGAGAAAATACGGTTCTGGCATGGGGGCTCCATTCGATGAATAGGACACAACATCTCTCAAGAACCGCACCAAATACCTTGCGGTATTCTTGGACAGCAAACTGCTGTGGAAGCACAATGTGGATGAAAGAGTAAGAAAGGCCACCAATTCCTTATAAGCGTGTAGGCAAATGCTCGTCACAACCTGGGGGACTTTCTCCACCATACTCTGATGATACACAGCGATTGTAAGAGCAATTCTCCTTTACAGTACAGTAGTGTGATGGAGAAGCTTATAGAAATATACCTACCGAAAGCCAATGGAAAGGGTTCAGAGGCTCGCTGCGCTGTGCGTAACCTATAGACCTTTTCGCTGAAAATTGGCGGCAAAATCGGCGAGGCGACTACAAGTGTAAAGGCTGCAGGAGAATTGACATATAGAACGTACGGGTATAGCTCCGTGGGTAATGTGGGTTTGGCAAGTACCGACTACCATTCATGATCCCACTTTTCAATTGGGAAAGAAAGTTCAGAGTAAACATAGAAAATGATGGTTGACGTAAAGGCATGTTAGATGCGCGCAACACATTAGATATTTATACGGATGTTGATGCAGGGATATACTGTTTAGAAATGGGCATAAGGCAGCCTTTTAAGCTGACACACCGCTGCGGTATATTTCAAGCAAAGGTGCTCGCTATTGGAATGCCGCAGAGCTAGCCTCAGTCAACATTTACGTGAATAGCCAAGCACCAATCAGGGCTTTTACCTTGTTTCGCATATCGGCCACAAGTACCTTAGAAAGCAGGGCAGCAGTGGAGAGTGTCGCCGCAAGTAAGCGACTTCACTTTTACTAGGTGCCAGGTCACAAAATTCACGACAAGCGCAGGCATCCTAAAGGATGACTACTCTTCATGGACCTAGTACCTGAACTCCATCTGGTAATGCAAAGAACCAAAGTTGGTATATGCGTGGCTCAGTAACCTACCAGACTAACTTAACCTTACCTATCGGTTTCATTGCAACTATTTTTGTTATTACATAGCGGCATATTTATCTTCGACTCATGATACGACCTTTCGTCATTATATTTAGCATTATATAGATATATCTCTTGAGAGAGTTGAGCGAACCATCCCAATCCATTTTCTTTACACTTTACTGTGTCATAAGAATGATAAACGTGAAGAGGTTAATGGCAGAACTCAAGGAAAACGGAATTCTAATTTAGCAACACGATATAATGAGGAGCTTGGCATTGAATACTCATATGCTAACATAGATAAAGTGCTTGCAGCAAAGATTAGTGGGCGTTTATGTATTTTTAGAATAACATATACATATTTATATACATATTCAATAAAAGGAAACTGGTAATAAGTTCGTGCAAACGAAAGTTCTGGCATCACAGCGAAAAGTGTTGAAAACAAAGGGTTTAGATTTACAATTTTATTAGGAAAAATATCATGACATAGTTACACGTTATCTAAAAGTGGGCGGTAGCACTCCTCTTCTCAATACCAGATTCTCATGAGACTTGTTGACTAGTAGGACTACCGCCTGTAAAACACAATGCTTTTATATGGATTTTGTATATTTATGAAGTTACAACAAAAATTACCTCGGAGTTTTATTAAGATATTGCGCGATATATATGGTGTAAAGTCAACTCTGTTTGAAAATTCTTATATAAGTTATATTTAACTCCGCTCACGACCGTTTCTTCTTTATTTCATGACATTGACTTCTTCTACATAAGCGACGCTTTTATTTAATGCTGTCGGCATATTTTGTAGATACAGGTTGGTTGAAAATTTGATTGGTCTCGCCATAATATTAGCACTACTAGATTAAAATTTTTTTTCATGTTGGTACATTTGTCGTGAGAACAAATAAAAAGTTACAAGTCATTCTATCAATTAATTCTTCGTTTACAAGCTATTTGAAGTTGACATGTCAAAATATTTTTTTTATATAGAGAATATTTAATATCGCGCAATGATTAGATTCACCTTCAAAATGCACCGTTGAATTTTGGGCTGGCGAATTTAAACGTCTTCGTGCTAGGCTTGAAGACGATCCACGCGAAGAACGAGCAAAAACCGCAACTACACCAGAAATCATGGAGCAAGTTAATCATATTATTAGTGAAGATCCAAGTTTGACTAAGCGTGAAATTGCGAATTGCTTGAGCATGCACCGTATTCACCAGATTTGACTACCAGCGACTACTACCTCTTCAGAAACCTGAAACAATTCCATCGTGGAAAGCGTTTTTCGTCGAATGAAGAAGCTATTACAGCCGTATACGGGTATTTTGTAGAGCATCCGGACAGTCATTATAGGGATGACATAAAATTATTGGAGGTTCATTGGAATAAGTGTAATGAAGTTAAGGGAGTTTATTATTGAATAAAATATAATATTTCGTACCAATAACAGTAATTTTTTATTTCGAGCACAGAAGCTTTTTAACCAACCTGTAATTGTATGTTCTGCCAAGTCGTAATACATTATTTTGCACTATTATCAATAGTATACGCAACGCACGCTATATAATAAATTTTTTAGCTAATATTTTTACACTCTGCGTTACATTATTAGCGTTTGAGTGAGGATTCTTAACATTTTTGAAAATATATATAATATTCCCAATGTTTACCGGGAATTGTTTAGTTTCCCAACGGTGAAATAATTTTTTAAATCCGTTAAGTAGTTTTGGCGCCTGTTTAATTCAAACAAACAAAGAAATAAACAATTTAATCTTTTCTCTTCATAAGACTTGTATTGCTATAGATAACAGTTTTAAGGTCACTGTAATAGTGAACTTTCTGAAGGCAGCTTTGACAAAGCTGCTAGTCAAATGTATGCATAATATTTATAGAATATATAATACATAAGTGATATACATTGCTTACGACTAAACTACAATATACAAAAGTTGCTGATTTTTTCTAAACTCCGCGAAATGAATGTGACTGTCATCATAAGACATCTCTGGGAATAAATTATGCACATTTCCAAAGTCTTTACTTCTTAAAATTTCGCAGAATATTTAAATTTCGGCTCTGCTTTAACATAGCTCTTTAAATTTTTTGTTTACTATTCTTAAGTTGGGCATAGAAATTGTGGTGTAATGCATTCATTTTGCGATAAAAATATTAAAGTCGGTATGCATTATATATGCAAACACAACTTCATGAGTTTTAAAGATAATATTAAATATTTGTAAGTTTTATATTCCAAAGCACTTCTTCAATATGCGCTGATTGATTGTTTCTGCAGTTAATTTTGTGATTTTAAACAGAATCATTGCCACACCGTGCGAAAAATAGCAAGTTGATACTTTTTTCGTCGCCAGAGTTTTTCGGCACAGAATGCTTTTCAAAAAGTTTTCGTCATTAAGCGTTCTTTGAACCGTTGGATATGACTTCCTTTCAATGTTGCACCAAAATTAGAATATTGATATGTTCAATGTTCCTCAAATTATATAAAAAAAACTATTTGGACTTGATGTGCGAAAAACAAGATATGCAAGTCAAATGGCCCTTTGATGTAAGCAGCTATTGTTCAGAATCGCAAGCGTGTAGCAAGATGATACATACTGATGTGCGTGAAAGGGTGGTAGGCTGACTTGAAATTAATGCTTTTTTTAAAACATATGTACACATAAATGGGTTGGCAACTAAGTAATTGCGGACTTCACTCATAGATGGCTTTAGTTGAATTTTTAAGTTTGCTGGCGTAGTCCAAATGTAAAACACATTTTGTTATTTGATAATTGGCAATTCAGCTGTCAATCAGTAAAATAAAGTTTTTTGATCGGTTGCGTAGTTTTCGTTTGGCGTTCGTTGAAAAATAGAAGATCAAAAGGAACATTTTCGTCATATTTTGCTTTTTTATTTTCGCAAAGGGAAAAACGCATCGCAAGCTCACAAAAAGTTATATGCTGTTTATGGCGACGAAGCCATAAAAAAACGGCAGTGTCAAAATTGGTTTTGCCAAAATTGATGAAAAACGCTCTGGTCCTCCAGTTGAAGTTGATGACGACCTAATCAAAGCAATAATCGATTCGGATCGTCACAGGACAACACGTGAGATTGCAGAGAAATTTTAGGTATCACATACATGCATTGAAAATCACTTAAAACAACTTGGCTATGTTCAAAAACTCGATATATGGGTTCCTCACGAACTGAAAGAAACGCAGTTAACGCAACGCATTAACAGCTGCGATTTGCTAAAGAAACGTAATGTAAATGATGATAACTGGTGATGAAAAATGGGTTGTTTACAACAATATCAAGCGGAAAAGATCGTGGAGCAGGCCAGATGAACGAGCTCAAACAACAACAAAAGCTGGTATTCATCAAAAGAAGGTTTTGTTATCAGTTTGGTTGGACTATAAAGGAATTGTCTACTTTGAACTCTTACCACCCAACCGAACGATCAATTCTGTTGTCTACATTGAACAACTAACGAAATTAAACAATGCAGTTGAAGAAAAGCGGTCCGAATTGATAAATCGAATAGGTGTTGTATTTCATCATGACAATGCAAGGCCACACACATCTTTGGTCACTCGGCATAAACTATTGGAGCTTGGTTGGGATGTTTTGCCACATCCACCATATAGTCCTGACCTTGCACCATCGGATTACTTTTTGTTTCGATCTTTACAAAACTCCTTGAATGGTAAAAATTTCAATAATGATGATGATGTCAAATCGTACCTGATTCAGTTTTTTGCTAATAAAAACCAGAAATTTTATGAACGTGAGATTGTGATTCTGCCTGAAAGATGGCAAAACTTCATTGATCAAAATGGGCAATACATTACAGAATAAAGTTATTTAGTTCCATGAAAAAATGGTCTTTTATTTTTTTTTTTTAATTGCGCAATTACTTAGTTGCCATATGTATATTAATAGCATATACATAAAAGCATTTAAATCTAAAACAAGACTTTTCTGAGACATTTTTGGTTTTGCCATGACCCGTAAAACCCTTGAAAGCTGACACAGTGGTTTTTATTGATATAACTGTAAAACCATAAATGTGACTAAATCATTTTATTTTCTGACGTAAGACCAAAGAGAAAGTGAATTTCGGAGTTGATTTCTGAAAACGGCCGTCACTCGTATTTAACTTTCTCAGTATTTTCATCGTTTTCCGCAGAATGTTGATAACCCGATATTAATGAGCTAAAAATAATGCTATGTTGCGACAATCACAGCAAAGAATTTTTAGTCTTAAAAAACTACATAGTGACTTGTGTGGTTTATATGCGTTCAGTTCTCCAGCTTGATATTACCACATTATTGACATATCGTCTTCTCATCAGCTGGACAGTCGTTAATTGGCAAGCCAGGCGGCACAACAACAGTCGGTTTTTAAAATCTTTAAAATGTTTCAAATAAAAATAATTTTACTTTTACCCTTTGTTTCAACTCTAATCCAAGCTGAAAAACATAGTTGTACAAAACAAGGAAAGGTTAGCGCTTTTTAAATATAAAAAACCAAAAAAAAAAAAAAAAATTTATTTTTCCAAAATATATTCATTACTAAGCTGATTTACTCTCTCCCGCGGAATAGGCTGGAGAAACGATACAGATTTGCTGTGCGGGCTACGTGGGCAACGGCACACATTGTACGGCCTTTTGTACGAATGGTTGCATCAATGGCAAATGCATTGCTGCAGAGCACTGTGAGTGCAACGAAGGTTTTGCCAAGAAACGGGGCCGGCAATGTGAGCCAATAACAGCAAATTCCCAGCAACAGTTGTGCCACGAACGCTGCATCAATGGCACATGCTCGGATGGCTTGTGTACCTGTGGCCAGGGATGGCGGCTGCAGCAAAATAAAAGCGCCGATATTTGTGTGCCGCAACGTGGGAATAGCCTAAGTAATTCGAGTGACAGTTGTGTGAATGGATATTGTAGTGCACCGGGTAATTGCAGTTGTTTTGCGGGCTTCGAACTGCTGCCAGGTAATAGACAGGAGTGTGTACCTTCAATGAATGACATCAGTTTGAGCAAATTGCTGGCCACTTGGCCACAATATCATAGCGAGATAATTATTGCCACAATAACGCTGATATTCGTATTATTGGCTATTTATTACTTATTTTACCGAATTTATAGACTGGAAACGAAAAAAGGAAACGTAGAGCTGAACTGTGAAACAAACAAATTAGTATCTTTAAAAGTCGTTAATTAAATTTATTTTACTTACTATCGGAATTCATAACACGGAGCCTAGCATATTAGAATCGCAAAAATTAACTGAAGACATAAACTTTGATCATGGCTTTTAGTACTCTTTGTTGATGTAAATGCATTTCATTCATTATTAAACACCAGACGTTTCTTGATCTGAGAAACCTTCACCTGAATGGCGTAGCATTAGTTAGCTATTACTGTATATTTATCTTTTCGCACATATATCAGTCAGAAAGAAAAGTGCGAAGAAATAATAAAAAATCAGAGCAAAAATATGGTTGCAAGTTTGGGTTGTCTGTGGGTTTTACATGTTTGTATGTTAAAATGTATATATTAAATAAAAAGACAAGAACTACTTTTGTTGGGCGCCATTTATCACTTGTGGTAAAAAAATGTAAACGAGCGTCGATAATACTCGTAGGGAAAGTAAGTATGAAGCGAATAATAATGATAACAACAATACCCGAATGATTACCCTCCTCCCGCCCAACCGACGAGAGGGGCGCAATCCGCATACGTGCTGAATTAGCCGAGTAAGAAAAGGCAAGAGCGTTAAAATCATGAAATATAGGGCGGTATGGTTCGCTTAGTTCGAAATTTGATCAATAGGATTTTAACTAGCCTTTTACTGGTTCTCGAAAAACAATTTCAACATGAAATATAATAGTTTCTAATATAGTTATAACACCGATAAATCAGTAGGCGCATAAATCTCACGCCCTTCTTGATCTTATCCCTACTTAGAGAGCATCTGTACATCATCCAAACTTATAATGGTTATTTCGGACTTCTAAGTGCGGTCATGCAAGCGTTAAAAGAAGATTATCTCAGGCCTCAAGCAAGTTCGAGTTGGGAATAGAGCTAAGGGTCAAACGAGATCTCTTGAGTCAGGCAATATCAAGCTAGTACCAACCTATTGGCCAAGCTGGTTCAAGTTAGGGGTCAAGCAAAGTCTAAGTAGTGGTTAAGCGAGATCAAGCCAAGAAACAATTCAGACACAACCAACGAAGAACTATAGACGGTCAAATTCAGCCAGTTGATAGCCAACGTCAAAGACCACAGAGCAGAATATGGGTCTCGAAAACGTATAGTTGGATTTCGACTAGTTATGGTAAAGAGTTAGCACACATTAGCACTATCATTTACTTCCGATATATACCTATATTAATTGTCGTTAACTGACGTTCCAGGCAAGTTATATTCTAAGTTTGGTTATTATTGGTCGAGTATTTGCTAAGACTTGGTTTTTCACCTAAAAGTGGGCATTTTCCATTCTTTTATACTGATTCAGAAGATAATCTGCCGTAGAGAGTTATCAATAGTTTTCGAATATAGCATATGTATGGTGATTGAACCTGGATATTATCAGATAAGGTCCGCTCTAACATCGTCTCAAAAAAATGCTAGAATGCTAAATATTGTCAACTGGTTTGGATATACTTGTAGCTTAAGTCATTTGTGAGATATACGCATTACAGCTATTAGAAGGCGGAACAACAACTGCACATTTCAAAAATGTTTGAACCACAGATGTCTCTCCCTACGGTAATATCTTGTACCAAGTTTTACTTTATAGCTTAATTTGTGATTTAGTTATAGTATAATACAAGTACTATATTTAGACTTTAACCAAAAAACAACTAAACTGAAATTATCGCCTGAACAGACGAACTGAAAGCCGAACGGAGGGATAGGCAGACATACGAAAATCATTTCTTATTGCCATTTCCATAAACACATACAAGTATAATAACATATGTATCTAAATCGATTAGTTTCAGGTTTTACCAAAAATCGTTAGATGTACACAAATGAATTGTACTCTGTTCAACATGGTGTGAGAGTTAACAAGTTTTACTAAATATCTTAGGACCTAAAATGTTATAATCGTTCCTCGTGACTCATCTTTTTTTTTCCTTTTCAAAAGTTAGCACCGTATTAGATTAAAGTTGTGAAATTGGCACAGGCCAATGTCGTCCGCTATGCAGACGTCTAATATTATAATATATAATACATATACATATGCATATAAATATTATCAAGTGGAATGAGCTCGCCTTAATATATGTAAGCAGTTAGAATGTGAATAATGTAAATTATGCATTATTGCGGAATTTTACAGCATTCCCTTCTTCTTGTTGCCTTTTATATATGCATACTACACAGGCTGCCTTTTATATTTCAGGATTTTGCAACCCTAGTGTTATAATCAGACAACTCACAACTTTATCAAAAAGTTTGACATTTTTAATGTTATACATACTCAGAACATTTTGAGATAAGAGCGCTGTTTCTGTTTTTTACCGTAACTTAAAATATTCATCTTGGCCAAAAAATTTAACTCAAATGCGAGCATTTTAGCGTGATTATTTTTTACAACTTTCGACGTGGTTCAACTCAGCAACGGTGCATCGATGGACTTAAAACAATTTTTGGTGATGAAGCTTCATCAAAGACCAGTGCTTATTGATGGTATGGTGAATTCAATCGAAGACTTAGATCACTTCAAGATGAATTTTGTGAAGGTCGTCCAAAATCAGTTATTGTTCCGGAAATTACTGATGCTGTGCGCAAACTAATACTGCAAGATCGTCATGGGACTTATAGTGAGATTGAGACCATTATAGGCATTAGTGAGACCAATTCACATTCAATATTATATAAATATTTGACTGTAAAAAAAATTTGTACACGTCGTATCCCACACAATTTGTCAATCAAATGTTAAATAATACGATAGCAGTGAACGATAGTTCGAAACACGTCTATGACATCGTAATAGGTGATGAATCGTGGATTTAGGCGTATGAGTCCGAAAGTAAATAACAGTTGACTGTATGGATGTTTCAAGATGAGCCGCATCGAACAAAAGTAGTTCGCGCACGGAGCACTTCCAAGCAAATGATTGCCTTTTTTGGAATGTTGCAACCATACCACAATAAAAATGCAGAACAGTAAATTCAGAGTGATACACAACCATTTGCTTGCCAGTTTCCTTTCAAGAAATCAGGAAAACCAATCGCCGAAGACAGACCATTCTTCACACACATCACACTACATTGCGAGCTCTCACACATCGATTAAAATAACTGCATTTTTTAACACTCAAAACATCGATTTGATAAGTCATCTGCCGTATAGCACTGACTTAGTACCGAACGACTTCTTTTTATTTCCGTGCGTAAAAAATAAACTAAGAGGTCAGGTGAGGTTGGTGATACCTCAATCAGAGTGGCAAAACTGCTTCGACAATTGATTCAAACGCATGCAAAAGTGTGTAGATCTTAATGGATAATATTCTTAAACACAATAAAGGAATTTTCGATTATTAGCATTTGTTGTTGTTCTCTAATCCCGAAATATAAAATGCAGCCCTCGTATATACATATGATTTATACTGTAGACTTAGATGTTTGTACTTTATGAAATTTGATTTTTAAACTCTCGCAAGATTTTGCATTAGAGTAAACCTCTGTTAGTGGCTATAACATCGTAGAAGTTTAGGAAGCAGTTCTTGAAAAACATTTTGTTGACATCAATATATGTTATGGGTAACCCTTCTGGTTAATGTTTTCGGTATAAAGCGTGTAAAAGCTAGACTCATATGGAAGGAATTTTTTTGCGAAAACTACCACGAGCATAATATCAAGTATATTGAAAATTTGATTAAACGTTGGAACTTTTGTTAGAACATTTGTATTAAAATACTTGAAAATTTATTTAGTTCTTAATAGTCAGGACAAATTTCATCAGATATATATTAGAACACCGGATATTAAAAAAAAAATTTAATTCTTGTCTTTCTATGATTAGTTTACTAATTTCATTTGTAAAATTGAATGCAAATCAGATATTTCAGATACTGATCCGAAACAAAACAGATTTTTATACCCTGAACTTGGTATATTAAGTTTGTACCTAAGTTTTGGAAACGTCGGAGGCTCTATAAAATATATATATTAATAATCTTTTGTATTTGTGAAGGGTATAATATGTATCTTGTTCGCAATACAGTTTTCAATATTTTCATGTAAAGTTCGGATTCGCTCGTATTTGTTCTGGCTTACATTCTTTTAAGTTGGATATGGAATTAGTAATGGAATTCAATCCATGTTGCGATAAAAAATTAAAAATATTATATGTGTATAAACACACATATTTTAATATGACACAATAAGGGTATAATTTCAACAAAATGGATTATGAAATTAAAACAAGATTAAATATTTGTGAGTTTAATTCTCCAAAAGCTTTACTTCGATCAATCGTTATGCCTATTCAATTCAGTTCACTTTGTGAATTTGACCAGAATTATTGTTAGACGGAAAATAGCAAAAGGAGTCTCAGAGCAGTATGATTTTGAAAATGCTTATTTCGTTAAGTATTTTTTTAACCGTTATAAACTTGACTACCAGTCAATGGTGCACTAAATTACAAAGAGTAAAAGTACCTTCTTATCAAACAAGACATTATATAGAAACTTATCAGACTGGTGGATGGTTTCGGGATAAAAAAACCAGACGTGCAATCACTTCGGATTTAGTTGTAAGTAAATATGATGTAATTCAATATCAACCGATGGCATTTACATGTGTATGTGAACGTTGGAACAATGAAGCGAAGTTAAGAACATTTAATTAAATTTTGTAAATTTGAAGTGAATTTAAACAGTTTTTATACTTTATAAGAACAACTTGATAATTGTACATTTTTTTTTTGGTCTGAGCAGTGAACAAATATTTTTATATTTCCTTTTTTGATATTTGCCGAAAATATTAAACAAATTTACGCTGACTATTTACTTATATTTCTAGTATAAATATGTAACAAGAATTGAATTAACATGTTGTGCTGGTTACGTAATGAGGAACAACGACTGCGAGCCACAGTGCCCTGCAGGCTGTTCGCCGCATAGCATTTGTACTCAACCCGGGACTTGCACATGCGATTCGGGATATGCAAGACGCTGGGATAACATATGTGCGCCCATCTGCCAAGAGCCATGTCCTGTACATGCGATCTGTATAGCGCCAGATACTTGTAGCTGTTTGGAGGGTTATAAATTCAATGAAGACTTGAAAAAATGTATGCCGGAGTGCCAATACGGTTGCGCCTTGAATATGTATTGCCAATCGCCTAACCAATGCGCTTGCCGCACTGGCTACAAACTGCAAACAAACACCACGGGTGATGAAGATGAGACAACGGTTAGCAACGGAGCGCGGTGTTTACCCGTCTGCAGGGATGGCTGCCCCGCGAACAGTGAGTGCTTTGCGCCAGATGAGTGCCGTTGTACGGAGGGTTACACTATGCAGATCGCAGACGAGGAGGGTCAGTTTAGGAGTAAAGGCGAATGTGCGCCGGTATGCGTGGATCAATGTCCACAGCATGCCAGTTGCGTTAGTCCGAATGTGTGTGAATGCGCATTGGGTTACGAAATGCTTAATCCACCTCAACATCGTCGTTACTGTCAAGCGCTATGCACGCAAAATTGCGAACTGAATGGCAAGTGTGTGGCGCCGGATGAATGTGAATGCTTTCCCGGCTATGAGCATGTGAACACCACAAACGCCAACTCAGATCCACAAGAGCTCTACTGTCAACCCGTTTGCTCCAATGGTTGTGCGCATGGCAATTGCGTGGGACCCGAAAAGTGCATATGCCAGTCGGGCTACCTGATGGGCGGGCAAGGTGTGTGCGAACCCACGTGCACCAGGGAATGTCTGAATGGACGCTGTATTGGCGTCGACGTTTGTAAATGTAATGACGGCTACCAACTATCCGCACACGACTTGAGTAAATGCGAGCCCATTTGCAGTAAACCCTGTATTAATGCAGACTGCATCGCACCGGAAATTTGCCTGTGTCGAGAGAAGTATAGACCTATGATTGGTGAGAACCTAACAAACGTATGTTCGCCCATGTGTTGGCCGGAGTGTGTAAATGGTGTTTGTGTTGCACCGGATCAGTGCAGCTGTAATGAAGGTTATGTGCGACTATCAAATTCAACACAGCTGCACATCTGCGAGCCATACTGCTCTGGTTGCAAAGGTGGCTATTGCGAAACACCATCGAATTGCGTCTGTCCCGAGGGCTCGAAATTGTCAGTTATTGGTGACACATCGGAATGTACTACAATTGTAACGAGTAGTATGGCAGCAGTTGTTACAATTGACGATACTACAACAAGTGTAATTCAAACAAAAACATTAATATCTGGCACTGATGAAGTTGAGGTGCTCAGTGGCACTAGTATTGGAAACGAAATCGACGCTCTATTACAGCCAATCGACTTGAATAAGTGTACCGACACGTGCGATTGTTGGAAAGAAACTCCGAGCGATGAGTGCTTTGTAATATGTGGGTCAAAGAAAACGAATTGCCTGGAGCCGCAGTTTTCTGAATGCATAGAGCTCAGCAAACGAATTGAATACAGAGTTTCTGATGCACCAAAAATATATACTTGTTTTATGAATAGTTCCAAGGATTCTCTGAAAACTGGCGCCGCTGCACAGCCATTGCGCATGACTATTAATGGCTTGATTTTCGCTGCATTAATGTTGGCTGTGTTTGTTTAAGCGTAAAAGCATCGTCAGAGCCTTTATACATTATTAATTAATGAGAAAAAAACAAAGAAATGGATGTTCTACCCAACAATTATATTATGCTGAATTTTTTTAAAGTATTATATTAAATTGATATTTGCAAAAAAAAAACAAAAAAAAAATTTCAATGATATTACATTATAACAAAAACTATACATTTAATCAAGTAATATTAAGCTACAAATACGACAAAATTGTCCACAAGACAAAATAAACTATTTACGTCCAAAAATAACTCTTTTCTTGGGCTATACACCTGTTAGCCTGCTTTCGAAATTTAAAGTAAAAATTAAAAATTATTTTTGTCTTTATTTTTAATGTCATGAGCAACACTTTTTCCTAACACCAAATATAAATATTTCAAATTTTTTTGAACGTATTTTATCAGTTATACTTGTACAAGTAAGTACATTACTCATACGCATTAGTGGTCTGCCTTAATAGAAATTTGTCTAAAAAAAATAAAAAGTGGTATGGTCATAAACAAAAATTAATAAAAACAGCAAATGATGCTTGTAAAAAGAGTGAAGATGCTCTAATTCCTGCTCACTGCGTTTAAGCGTATTTCTTGTATGAGCGCTGATGAGATTTCCCATTTTGAGCTCTGAAAATGAAGACAGCTGGAAAACCCTACGCTTTAATATCAACTCTGCATACAGAGAGGGTATGTATGATGTCAGCGGCCTTACCGGCCATTAGCCAAGAACTTAATATGTGAAATAAGTTGAAGTATAAAACGCCAGCCAGAGTTGCATAATCATTCGCATAAAATATAAATTATCACTGTGAATGAATTTTTAAAATAAATAAAAATTACGTGAAATTCTTGTAGTATCTAAAAAATATTGCACTACATTGTAATTATTATTACTATCCTATTATTTCGAGTGATTATTAATACTACATAGAGTTTTAACAGAAGAATATGTGACCTGGATCGATGAAGTATGGCATGCTGTAGAAAATTCTGTATATTCAGCTGAAAATATAAGCAATATAAAATATAATTCCTTACTCTATAAGATTTTTGTTGAAAAATAAATAACAATAAATAATTAGAAGCTCACCTTTCCACTACCACCGGCGTATTCAATCGGCGGTATTAAAATATCGAACTTATTAATTAACTTAATTATAACAAATGGGCATATCTTAGTGACTAAAAATAAACAAATTTGCGAAGTTTAAATCACCTTCACTAGTCTCAAAGTGTCCAATCTCCATTTCGAAATTGCCGTTCATTACCGCGACATGCATTTTGACAAACGAGGGGTAACAAATAAAGGCTACACTAAGCAGAAGTACAAATTCTTGAATATAACGCATTTTGACTATTTCCGACACTTGTACAGAACTCCGGCTAACAACAACTATGCGTTGTTACTTTAAGTACTGCAGCAAACTGAAGATCTTTTACCTTACAATTGTCATGATTTACTTCTTTTATTTGTGCTCTAAACTAGTTCAGTTTGCCACGAAGCTTGTAACACCCGCCAAGGAAACGCAGAGAACCTATTAAGTGTACACAACGTACAGGGTTTCAAATTCGACGAGCTGTAAGAAAAAGTGGCGCTTTTTGTTTAAGTATGTAGTAGTTCCTTGTTGTGCGAGAAGAATCTCTATCGCTGACAATGTACTCGTAATTGTAAAGTGCATTTTTGCTGCGATATTAATTTTGTGACTCAAATCACTTGCGAGCGAAAAGTACAAGCCCAAGCAACATTAGCAGAGCCAACGCCATTATTAGCGCACCAATCCGAAAATATATATCTTCCATATCTTCGATTTTGGTTACATTCAAATTGTCTCTCCGTTTAGTTGTATTTGAAGCTGCGCTGCTTGAAGTAACAGCAGTGGTTCTTGTGTACTCGTATGAGTTCCAGTTAGTGTTAGTAGCCGAAATTCGCGCTTTGATGGTAGTTATCTTTGGTATAGTGCTGTTGGTCGTTGTTGTTGGCCATCAAGGCTATTCTCTTGTTCACCACCAAGCTCATACATTCGCACACACTTCGTATGTTGCTCGTCAAAGAACACATATCCGATCCGATAATCGAATATCGTGTTTTGGGCAGCTGTTAAGGCAGTACCTAATGCCGCCCAAATACACCTCCTCAGTACCGAAGCTGCAATTGCTGACCTTATTCGCGCATACTGAGTTTCGCTGTTGTTCAGCTGTTTGCGTTACGCATGCGCAATTGAACACCAAATAAATGACAATTCCAACTTGGAGCAGAGCTAACATTTTTTTTTTTGACGATTTTGAAGTTTTAGCGAGAAAGGGATGCACACGAAATTAAAAGCAAAACTGAGGCACGCATTGCCATCGAACGATGAATAATGTCATAAATTTTAATACGCACACTTTTTGTGCAATAATTCTTATTGTGGTATCATATTGCAAATTTTTATTTTTTGTTGGTACACTCACATATACATAGCTTTGTATGAGCAATAAATACAATATTTAAGTCAAATTACTAAAACTTTCATTTATTTATGTATAATTGCTAGCAGGCTGTGCGTGCCGGTCGCAATTTCATTTTTTTTTATTATATGATAAAGCATAAAGTGGAGAAAAGTAAGCGCTGATGGTCGGCAAAGTGCGCACATGCTGATAAAATGCAGTGTTTCCCAAACCACCAAATTGCACGTTTCGATTATTCTTATTCTTCAGAAATCTGACTTATATGTCTTATATACTATTTACTTTAATGAAAAAACTTCAATCACATAATAATTCGTTGTATACTTCTTCGTTTTCATCACATTGTGCTGTTGATTTTCGTATCACTAAAACAAGCATGAAATGAAAATGAAACTAAGAATTATACCTTCGATACTTCAAACAATTACCATTGCGTATGACCTGGTTTGGCCGCCATATGCACCAAAACCAATAAGCAAATATCGCAAGCAAAATAACAATTAGCAGGAGACTAAACCAAATTGTAGACTCGAAATCCATTTCCGTACCAATAACTGACATTCCGAAATTACTGAGTGAAAAGCGATCTCCACAGACGCCTGTTGGAAATTAGACTAATTCTCGCCACTTCTACAAGTTGTTTACATGCGAAGAAACTGCTGTTGCTTATCACCTTTTGAACATTTGAAGGTCTCATTGAAAATACATATGTGTGGATTTGAAATGAATAAACAAAGGCGCAACTTAAAGGCAAAGCCTCCTCGGCTTGATCGTAAAATGAGTGTGTATATGTGGAAATAGGGTGGCTTTCAATTTAGCGACTAATGAAGCGTCAGCTTTAATTTTAAATAATTATTAAAATACCTTTTTTCTTAACATTTTCCATTACGGGTTCTATAACCCTAACTTTATTTGTCCTGTTTTGCGTTTCGTTTTCAAATTTCCCGCACTTCCCAAAAGCAAAGCATGACTCGCAGCCTCTCTTCCCAATATTCACACTTGCTTATACTGGGCTTACAGACGGACTCTTTTCTCACTCATTATCGGCAATTTTTTTCTCACTGCGTTCACATGAGCGACACGTTTCCGGCAAATCAAATCGAACAATTTTCTGCATTCTCTTTCATATCACATTCTCAAATTCTTGTACGCTTTATGTACATGAATGTTGTATAAAAATATTTTCCATTAGCAAATTTGTATTCTTATTTACCATTTTCTAGCATATCTTTATTATTATTGTGCATATTTGCATCATATATACAAATAAAATAAAAAATAGATAAAAGAAATAGATAGTATGTTCGGCTGCACCGAAGCTATAATACCCTTCACAGCTGTGTTTTTTTTTATAGCATAAAAAGGGTATAATAAAATATTTTTCTTGATTTTGATCGGTCAGTTCTTATGGCAGCTATATACTATAGTGAACCGTGTTCTTGGTGAGAAAAGGACAGGTGCAAGATTGATATATCAAAAACTGAGACTTAAATCACACAAAATTTAATTGTTTTCCTGTTTAGCAGTAATTAATAATTACAAAAATATTTATGTTTTTTATACCCTCAAGTCTCTTTATACCCTTCGCAAAAGCTTTTTCTTCCTTAGCAAGTAGCCTCAATTCGACTTTTAAAGGTTGTTTATATCAAAGAGTGTGACTAGAAAGAACAAGCAAAATCTTTTTGTGTTTTTCGCAAAAAATGGTTAGTATATGTTTGCATTTCTGTGACTTACCATAGTTCCTTTGCCTAATGGCTACTGTAGTACACAAAATTTCGATTGATAAGCAGCATATGCGCATACATACTCATATATGTGTGTGTATGTTTGCTTTACCACAAAGTGATAAGAACCACTAAAAGTATTTATATCCAAGGAAATCCCAAACGAAATACTTTCATAATACGTTTTAATACAGGGTGCGGCATCTTTCATATCGGCTTGTAAACATTGACTAACTTTAGCATTTACTAAGCGATTGAGTTGGCTAGTCATAATTTGAAAAACTCAACTCAACATACTTCTAATTATTACTGTCTAATTATGAATCGCTTCACAACTATAAAAATAATCTATCACTTTATTAAAATAAAAAAACCCAAAGAGTTAGTTATTTAAATTGTTTACATAAATTTTGAGGTTATGTGAAAAACGTCTATATAGAAAAGTTATAGACCTGGTGATTACCTACAACATTGCCATATAACTGCTTTCAATAGGAATCGTAGTTTTGCAGGAAATCGAGTTAAAAAAATTCTTAACCCTTAAAACAGCAACCACGCCCCTCCCCTTCCTTTTCGCGATCTCAGATCAACCGTAAATTATTTTTCCCTTGACCTACTATAAATTTTTTTTTTTTTTATCATTTTCAAAGGCTTCTGCACTAGTCTATATTGAATTTCTGAATTAAAAACTCCATTTACGTCTCATGTTAAGAGGAAATGACTTTGACTGTCCACTCAAACCGGAAGATTTTACTCGCTTTTATGCTATCAATCCTCTGACCACCGAAGAGCTCAATCAAGCATTTGGGGGTATCAAAAGCTTATTTGCTTTGGCTAAAAACGACAAGCTATAATACTCCTCACAAATACAAAAAGCTTCTTACAAGAACTTGATTCCGATCGTTCAGTTTGTATGTCAGCTATATGCTATAGTGGTCCGTTATCGGCGGTTCAGCCAAATGGTTGAGGTTTAGGTGTGAGGATTGACATATCGATGGAAAAAATGCTTATAGGAAAATTCTCCGAGTACACCAAGTCATTGATTTCCAAAAATACAATAATATTATATTATTGTATTATTCCTTATATGTATTCAACAGATTACAAAAGTGAACCATTATTTGTTATAAGACGATATTTTGAACGGAAGTTTCACTTCAGCGCTAACAGATGTGCTTCCATTTAATGCTTACCATGAGAGATGTAGCGCCCTAACTGAAATATTAGTCCGCAAGCACAGGCCACATACATATGTAGGTTTGTATGTGTGGGTATTCTATGATTTGAAAGCATAAACAGAACGATGTGTTATTATCAGTTGAACTTACAGAGACGCGCGAATGCTGATAATTCTGAAATTACAATAACATATTTACACACAAACGTACCACATAAATAATAACAACGCAAAATATATACTATGTCTATTAAAGAAGCGAAATGCGCGAAAACAAACTTGCGCAGAGCTGTGGCCTGATCAGTAGTGTACATCATTATTTCCTTTGGAATACTTAAAGCGGGCGGTACAGACAAATCAACACCGGCGATTCGAAGCTTCTAGTTCTCCATAGACCTGCAGGCATTTCATTATAAGGACTTCGGCTATGTTTCAATCGGCATCAGCACACCTGTCCGTCCGGCAACCAATTCAACATGGAACCAATGTGAGTTTATATACGCTGCTGATCTGTTGCTTACTCAGCTTAAACGCTGCCGCAACATTCACCATCACCGGCAAATATTGCCAACGAAATGTTAGCGTCAAATATCAGGAGCCAGTGCTGCATACGAATGACCGCCAACATATACAACGTAGCGCAGATCTCAGTGGTGTTTTGGAAACAGCAGAGAATAGCACGCTTCTAGCCCACGTCGCTATAGCCAACGCCACCGCAAACTATCTCATATACGAATCGCGCGTACGCTGGGAAACCACCAACGTTTGCTGTCCTGGCTACAGTCCCTTGCTCTTCAGCTTTTGTGAACCCATCTGTGATACAACCTGCCCGCGTTTCAGCTATTGTGCCACGCCCAATCAGTGCCAGTGTTTGCCAGGCTACGAGCAGCATCATCCGAATAATAAGAAGCTGCACCTGCTAGACTGTCGGCCAGTCTGTGCCAATGGCTGTCCACCGCATAGTCACTGTGTGGCTCGAAATCGCTGCCAGTGTCGTGAAGGCTTTCGAAATACCAGCAAATGGTGGTTCCTGCCACTGAAGTGCGAACGCATACGGTGTGCAGCGCCCGATCAGCGTTACGATGTCGCACAGCGCTTGTGCGTGAAGATAGAGATGAGCATGGAACAACTAATGCGAAAGGTCGCTGAACGCTTAGCAAAAGGTTTAAATATTGCGGCGGAAGATAGCGGAGAGCAGAGCAATGACGAAGAGGCAACAAGTGAGGAGGTGGATAGTGAAATTGTGACAGAGAACAATTCGTAGTCTATGTGTGTAGATCTAGTAGTTTTAAGAAATGATTCCCGCTGAGAAGGATGTTAACAGCTTTGATATGTTCTTATGTAAACGAAATTTTTAAGAAAGGTGAATAAATATAGACTTTGTACGAAAATATATTAACAAACTTATTGGGTCTTAGATTGCGTTCACACACGGATTATTTACTCAGTGAGGGGACGACAAGGACGCAGGGACCATACCGCTCGTGCTCGGCTGGCACGCTTTGTATTGAATTATTATGAAAGGGAATGCGAAAAATTGTCCGACCTGTGTTGTCGGCCTTGCGTCGCTCATGTGAATGCAATGATTGACACCACGAGAAAATTTGCCGATAATGAGCCACAAAAGAGTTCGTGTGTGAACGCAGTCTTACCCGCTTGGTATTTGTAGCATATTTTCAGTCCTGAAGGTTTATTAATTAATCGCCACTCTCAATTCAAACTTCGAGCTGGTCCAAAACTTAGCACATTGTTTAAAACAAAACTAATATATAATTTCAGTATTTAGCAAGTAGGCTTAAGAGATTCACCTTATGATTAAAATTGCTAATAAAATTATTCGGTTTTAAAATCCGTAAATTATCATCACGCAAGGCTGTAACAGAGAGTCTCGTTGGAAAACTATTGAGTGGACTAATTGTTGGACAAGCGGCTAATTCTAAGTTTCTTTCTCTTTTTCATTCGAATATATTGTTTTTCACTATAAAGAGTTCAAAGATACTATAAATGGGATTATAGTCTCAACTATGTGAAATTTTCTATAAATTCCTTATAATTTTGTATTGAAATAATTTTTTATTAAACAAGGTGTTTATAATAATAGTGAAATTGAAATTAATTAAATTTCGAAGGAACGAAGCTTTCAGAAAACACTTATAAAAGCGTAATAATCCATGGAAAAACCATCAGGTCCAACAACAAACAAGTAATTGTTTTTCAATACAATGAATTATTTAAATACGTACCACATACTAAATAAAAAAAAAATAAACATAAGTTGCGGTTTTGCCAAGTAAATGCAGAATAATGGAGCACTTTGTATGATTAGGCTAATATTTATTTCCTATGTGCGCAACACAAACAGGGTGCGTGTGGTATGAGTTTGATTCTAGATTTTTTTGTAAATAACCGCTTTACTGGTTATTTGAAAGTTTGGGTTCCTAGCTGGAATACCTTTAGAGATGTCATGCTCATTTAGAGTGAGTCTTTTCACGCCACTGTTGTGTGTGCGGCACTTGTTAACCACCGCAGCGGCTCGCATAATCACTTACTCTCATCCAGCTCGAAATATACATAAGTTATGAACCTCAACACAGCCTGTTCTCCATTTTCTATTTCTTTTAAAACATTTCACATCACTGTATATTAACGTCTTCTGTGGCTAACTGCAAAATTTAGTGTTTTAGTGGTTTATTATGTATTTATTTGTTATGAAAGATTTGTTTCTTTCTCGCTTGCTATAACACAACCACAAATATTTTTCGGTTTATATGCTTGAATTTATTCGTGAGATTATCAGTGCATATTGTGAATTCGAGCAAAACTATTGTAATAAAAATTGTGTGGAAAAGAGTTTCAATTAAGTGACAAGAAATTATTGTAACTCTGTAGTTTTATACAAATTAATTTTAATTTTAATTTATGAGATGCATTTCAAAAATTTAATAACGCTCACTGCCAGCTTTTTTTTGTTCGGATCTGTTTCGGGCGATTTGTGTTCGAAAAGTATGGAATTGCGGAAAATTCGTAAAAATCAGACAATAAACTGGTCCGAACGCCAAAATGATTATAACAAATATGATACAGATGTTCTTGCAGAGGTTAGTTTTTAAAATTTATTTAAATTAAGGTAAATTAAAATGCTATTATCAACTATAATCACAAAAAAGCCAAAATAAAATTAGAAGAAGCGCAAAAATTGAATATCCTGCGGTTTGACTTTCGCCGCACCAAGTACAAGCCTTACATACTAACTTGTAAGCTAAATTAATTTCGACATGAAAAACGTTAACTTCGGTTGCACCATACAAGAATCTGAACAACTGACCGTTGTATGGCAGCTTTAATTGTCCAATCTTAATAGTTTTTAAGTATCCATGCCACATTTGGCGAGTCAAATAAAGAGTTTTTTATATAAAGACTTTTTTGGTTTTGATCGTACAGTTTGAATGGCAGCGACAAGAATTTTAGATCAAGATTTCAAAATTTGAGAGACGAGTTCGCGCAAATACAGACAAGGTATCCGACACTTCCTTCTGAGTAATATATCCTGTTCTAAGTATAAAAATTGCTTACCAACTCAAAGCTTTCAATCATTTCTACGATTTCAAAAGTAGTAAAAGTTAAAGTTTTTGCTCCCTATACCTTGGCTGGGTAGACTATTTGGTGACCACAATATATTTTATCGCTAAGTTCTCTTATTTGGTTTTAATTGTATTAAGTATGTACTACTTTGCTTAGTAATATATAAATAAATAGTTAATTATGTGGGATTGCATTAATTATAGTACTTTAATTTGCGACAGTATTTAATAATAAATATCCGTTCCTTTCCACATATACAGCTATGTGAAGATGGCTATACGGCAAGGATTTGCACTGAATACAAAATTGTTTGTGAACCCGTGTGTCTTGCAGGCTGTGAAAATGGCATTTGCACAGCGCCAGGTACATGCGATTGTGCGGTAGGCTTCGAGTTGCGCAGCAATCTAGAAAAGGCTGAATGTGTACCGGTAATACTAAACAACGGTGTGAGGCTTACAAAAGGCTTAGCATTAACCAAAGAGGAAACTGAAGATAATAAGGATTTGAGCATCTGTAAAGAAACGTGCTACTGTTGGAAAGAGGATCCCGCTGAAATGTGCACCAGGCTTTGTGAGACAGAAAATAATCGTTGTCTGGAACCGAAATTCTCGTTTTGCAATGAATCAGATGGCTCTATAATTTATAAGAAAGATGCAAATCCGAAAATCTACTTTTGTTCTGTTCCAAAAACCTATACAACTAACTATAAAGCCGATTATGCCACCCGAACCCGTTGGATCATAATAGGCGGGTGCATTTTTATTGGAATAATGTTAATCGCCATCTTCTATCTGTGTGTGCGTATATATCAAACTCGACATGAGACAGGTGGGTCAATTAGTCGGCGGAGTAGCTGTGGAAATCTTTTGTGAATTTTATTGTAGAAAAAAAAACTCAACTGCATTTTTTTTTTTTTTTTGTATATTTCAGGTGCACATGACATTCCCATTAGCTTGCTTATGAAGTTTTGAGATTGCAATTTAGCGGCAAGACTTCAAAAAGACAAATATGTATGTATTTATATGCTTTAGGAAAACTCTACATATATATGTTGTTGTTTAAATTATAGTATTTAAAACATGGTGCAGTATTTTATGAATTTAAAATATAAATAAAAACCACTGCAAAGGAACTACAACTCAATGAAATTAAATTAAAGCGAAATTTTTGACAATTTTGACGATTGAATACGAGTTAGAAATACAGGGTAAATTAAACTAAAACAGATACAGTGTGATCGGTGTTCGGAAATAGGTCAATTTATTTTCCAACACATGTGAAGAATTTCGAGTTGTAATAAAGTTGTAATTTAACGAAAAAATGCATATTTTTCTTTTATGTTAGATTAGTTATTTAAAAAATAATTATAATTACATTGAGCTTCTATCACAAATCTACTAAATCATCAAAGGTCTCCTGGAAATATGCAACGTTTTCATTTAACATTGTACTCACAATAATACATGATAATACAAGGTGTAGAAACATGTGTTCGAACCTAAAAAATATTGAAAAACTAAAAACTTAAACTGATTTTTTCACCCTATAAATTTTTATATTTAGCGCAATACCTTCTACTCTTGTAAAAATTGATTTGGAGTTCACAACCGAAGTTAAGAATAATTTTGAGCCTAGCATTGACACTATTTTTGATATTTTATAGAGCAGCATGCCAGGTTACCAGCTTTTGCGAGGCTTAGAATAAACATTTTAATTTTATTACAGATATTTTAAAGTTTTTATAATTACTATCACAAGATAACTATGTTTATCACACCTATACCCACATAACAATAGGAAGTATGTAGCATATTACTACAACTAATTGGGCACACACTGTGTCGAGCGTTCATGATATGTAAAGCCGGGATTGCAGATGCAACGATTATTGCTATAGCAAATGCCATTATCACATTTCCTGCAAAGAAGAGTTGGAATTAATTTGGAGATTGTAGTGTATGTATTGGTGGAAACACTTTCTCAGTACTCACTGATAACAATCGCGCTGACACACACCATCCTTGAGTTCATAGCCAGGTCTGCAGTAACATAGATTCGGCTCACGGCATTCGCCACCTTCACCGCAATCCGGATCGCATGCTGCCACACAACCATCATTTGTTAGCTGGTAACCCTTCGCACAGCCACATACTTCCGGTTCGGTGCAATTGTGTCGCGGATTCATACCACAGCCATTGCTGCAAATGGGCCGACAAAATTTACGCGTCTCATCCAACTTAAAGCCGGCGTCACATTGACAGGTGCCATCAAGAAAGCAGCGTCCGTTCAGACAACCCAACGGACAGGCGAATACACAATCGCCGTTATCGTTGGCGACGAAATTATCGAAACATTCGCATACATTGGGCGCTATGCAGCGGCCATTGCGACAATTCTCGCAGAGCGGTTGGCAAAGCGTGTTGCCGCGCCAACGAAATGGCGCGTAGCCAGCGCAGCAAACCAGAATTTTTTGCTGTTGATTGCGTTGATCCAATTGAATGCGTTGCGCATACGGATATTTGTTGATCATCTCCACTCTGGAATGGCATGGCGTAGAACAGCGATATTAGTATTGGTTGAAAATGCTATAGAAACGAAAGTTCGTTCTGTTTCGGTGAAATTTTGCAGAGAGGTATATGGGTAGGTGTAAAATTGTATCGGTGTTTGGTAAGTAAGTAAGGTGAGTAAGGGGAGTTAAGAGATATATTGTTATGAAATCACTACCGATTTCAGTTTCAGACTACCTGGCTAACATAGCTTTTTTCACGCCGAAATTGTTACCATTAAGGTAGCGGTAGATTTACGGCTCCCGAGTGCAGCCTCTTACAGCGAAGTGACTATCTATTCAAATAGCAGGACGGCTATACTCAAGTCACTTTGTGATAAGGGCTGACGGACTGGAAAGGAATTTTATTTTATTTTATGGCTTCACTATTCGCTACCCATTTTAAGGATCAGTTCTATTTTATGTGTTTTCCAACTTAAGGATCAGCTATCGAACCTTAACTTAGCCTAACCTTGGTCGTCCAGCTGTAAACTAAAATAATCATAAGTCCAGTTAAGTTTAAGATAACTTTTATTATTATTAGCTGGGACTCGACTCAGAACGACCTGAAAAACTACTTTGAATATTTTGAATGGAGCTCTGGATGTTTCAGAAGGCTTTGAATTTTATGAAAAGAAGATAGGTATTAAATTGTGCAAACTTTTACCATTTTGGGCTTCAGTAACTATGCCTCTACCAACAAAGTATGATTTGGGGCGTTAACTATATTTTTACTAACTTATACTTCAAAAATAGAACATAGAATATTGACAAACCCTTCTCTTTAAATACCGAAAACATCCAGTTATGTTAGCAGTTATTAGCCTGACATTGACCTTTGTGCGTAGTATCTCATATAACCCACTATAATAGTGCCTGAGATCTTCGTAATCAGCAAATCAACTCATGACCCTCAAGTGATTACTGTAGTAAAAGTGATTTCCAATAAAGAATTGACAGACCCATAGTACTTACGGCACCCAAATATGACACTTGTTGCCCTCCGATGTCATTTCGATGGGTGGCACTTGACTTCTCGCCTGTTTCTCTAGACGCTGTTGTTGCTTCCGCAGTTGACGACGCGACAGTTGCTCTGCACCCGATGTTGCCAACTGCCGATTACCAAACTGATAATTTACATCATTCTCATTGAATTGTCTGCGTGCAGTATCTCTACCGCGATAGGAAGAGCGCTGATACGGGGACACATCATTTGTTGCATCGTCCGCATCTTGAGAATCAACAGTATCACCACCGTAAGGTTGACGTTGTTGTCGATGATGATGCTGCTGGCTTTCAGCATTGCTGACAATTACAATAAAATGTAGACACAACAACACGAAGCAGCACAAACTGAATTGTTTACTAGTGAAAACTGTTGTCATGATGGCGTCAAATATATGAAATATATATGTAACTGATTTGGCACGTTTAATCACTTTCTTATTTTTTCTAGATTATCTGAATTACATCAGAAATCTGGCTTGCATGGAATTTGCAATTTTAGATTTCACTAGCAAACTTTTGCAATAGCTCTGCACATATATTTTATACTTTAATGTTATCGTTTTTTGATTTTTAAGTTTTTCTTATTTTTGAAATAAGCCTTGATTTCTTTGCTTCTTTGGTTGCTTGAGCACTTTAAACTTCACCGAAAATTTTTGATTCCGCAACCAAAATTATTTGCTGTATTCACGCTCAGTGCGAATAATCCATACTAAAAGTTAGTTGAGCAAATTTTCTGCGAATCGGCGGGCTGGTCAACTACAAACACACTGAAATAGTGTTGCCTCAGTTCGTCTGGAGGCATTCGTCCGTCGGCTAAGCATTTCTCTTAGTTTTGAGAACTTTTTGTTTTGTAGGAAGTGCGCGTTCGCAAACTGACGTTGGCCCTCTGAAAGGTCTTTCACAGCATCGCTTATCAATATTGGAAGACTATTTGTTTTTGTTGCTGCTTGCTTGCGTTACTAATGAGCTTTATTGTTTTCTATTTTTGTTTTCGTTTTGTTTTCCCCATACTAGTGCTCGAAATCATAGCATTAACATTGAATAGTTCGTGGAGGTTTCAATGGAGAGTTTCAACAACAAAAAAAATTCCACTAAGCGATGATTATTTGAGTGAGTTTTTTCTTCAATATTTACGTATATGCGAGTATATTTATTTGGAGAGTTTGAGAAAAAGATTATTATTAGAAAAAGCGCATTCCATATTTTATTTTTAGAAAACGAATATTAATAGAATTTAGTGAACTTAATAAAGCGATAAGCATTCAAAATTTTGTTTATTAGATATTTGTATCTCCAAATAAATATATGGAGTAATGAAGTACAGGTTCAAAAGCCGGCAATACTTGGAATAACTGGAATATGCGACTCAGTGCACCGATCCTTAATTGTGTTCCCGTGAAATACACACGCATATCCACTAACGTGCTTACCGTTTCCTACTTATTTAAAACAGTACAATGATCTTTTCCCTCGCTCAGGGACGAAGTGTCGAAAACCTTTGAGTGCATTCACTTTTATTATTTTCAGAGTGCATTTTTTTATCAATCTCACACAAATTTTTGTGAACTGACAATTCCAAAATTTCTTTATCAATGGCTGGACAGAATTCAAGCCAGTTCACGTAATCAACCCAAACCGAAAAGACAACAATACTGCTGTTAAAAATCGTTGAATACTTGTAATTGAAGAAAACATTAGCGTCATGAAAGCAATACTCGTCCTTACGCTGTGGTAAGCCCCGAGGTTGAAACACGTGTTGCACATATTAAAGTGTTTACCGTTTCCTTGCAGCCTGCTGTTGCACGGCAGTATGTGCAGCGAAAGATGCCAGCTCCAACACAAAGGCGGCAATGAGCGCTTCCCTAAGGACTTCTCTTTTGGCGTTTCGACTGCCGCTTACCAAATAGAAGGCGCTTGGAATGAAGACGGCAAAGGACTCTCCATTTGGGATACATACACGCATGCGCATCCGGAGCGTATACAGGATCGTACAAATGGTGACGTAGCGGCGGAATCTTATTATCGTTTTGAGCAAGATTTAGCGGCGCTGAAGAAACTCAAGGTATGTAAGACTTTTTTAAAAAATACAAAAAAAAAATTTCATCATGAAAAAAAAGAAATTTCATGCGCATTTTGTTACGTTAAAGGTCAACTTCTATCGCTTTTCGTTCTCATGGCCCCGCCTTCTACCCAATGCAGATACGACGGTGATAAATCAAAAGGGCATTGACTATTACAACATGATGATAGACAAGCTATTGGCGAATAACATTGAGCCCATGGTTACGATGTTTCACTGTGACCTGCCAGAGGCGCTCAACAAATTCGGCGGCTTCACCAATGATATTATTATTAAGTATTTCCGTTATTATGCTAAGTTCCTGTACGAAACATTTGGTGATCGCGTCAAGAAGTGGATTACCTTCAATGAACCCTTCGATTATTGCAATTTGGGCTATGGCAAATCGTACTTTCCGCCGCTGGTGCATTCACCCGGTGTTGCCGACTACCTTTGCATGGATAATACATTGCGCGCTCATGCCGCGGCTTACCGCGCCTACAGAGCGAACTATTTCCAGAAGCAAGGCGGTAAAATAGGCATTACAATTAGCAGTCGCTTCTATTACGCGCAGCATAGGAGTTACGATGAAGACGTAGTCGAGCGTGCCATGCAGTATTCGGTAAGCAAAAGAGAGAAAGAAAACAGATATTAATAATGAAGATACCATATTAAAGCATATGCACAAAATCTTACTACTTACTACAGCTCGGTTGGTTGGCCAATCCCATTTTCGGCAAAACTGGCAATTATCCTCAGCTCGTATTGGATGATATTAGAAACAATAGCTTAAGCGAAGGTCTATCCTGGTCACGCTTGTCGCCGTTTAATGAACTCTGGTCCAAGGTTATACGAGGTGCTGGCGATTTTTTGGGTCTCAATTATTACACTTCTCGTTATGCTGCGTTAGCTAAAACACCCGCCGGCGAGATACCCTCTTGGGAATATGACTCGCAACTCCAATATTTCGTTGACGAGAAATGGCAACAGGGCAACTCTAATGGGCTTTACTGTGTGCCACAAGGACTAGAAGATATTCTGAAGTAAGTAAGAGACTGTATAAAGCATGCACTTTTTGTCAAGAGCAGCTTTTTATGTTACCAGCGTATTCTTTTCCCCCAACATTGTCTTTCCTTATAATGCTAAATAACGTCTTACGTAGGTGGATCCGCGACCGCTACGATAATGTCGAGGTCTTTATAACGGAGAATGGTTGGTCGGACTATGGCCAATTAGAGGATACGGATCGCGTCGATTACCTACAGGCTCACTTGCAAGCGGTGTTAAATGCCATCAATGATGGCTGCAAGGTCACTCATTACTCACACTGGAGCTTAATCGATAATTTCGAGTGGAATATGGGATATACGTAAGCCGAACTACATACTTATACTTAAATTGTTTAATTCACTTCTGGCTTTTCGCATTTTTTTAGTCAAAAGTACGGTCTCTACTATTTGAATATGACGAGTCCAACTAAAGATCGCATAGCCAAGAAGTCTGCCTATTATTACAGAAGTGTTATCGATGGTAGAAAAATCCTACAATACCTTAATTAAACAAGAAACTCGTATTTTTTATTTTTACAATAACAAATTTTATGCACAAAAATAAATGCCTCTTGGGCAAATGTTAAAAATAAGGATGTTTTTTCAAAGATATGTCAAATCTTTTAAGTGGTTCAATAAATCGCTTTTAATCGGAGAACATATGAACAATTAAAACTTGCCTTGTGTACCGTTTGAATTTCAAAAATGGCAGCTCCAGAAGAAAGCAAGCACTATGGTCACAAGTTTAACATTTTTGAATCAGAGGAACCTTGCTAAGGAGGTTTACTGACAATACTAACAGCATCCGACTCTGAGGGATCTAGCAAAATTTACAAATCTACCACACTAGAATCAAGATGATTGATCTGACTCTATACGCTCTGTCTTATTGCAGACTGCTAACTGCAAAGGCTATTTTATTTCACCTCAATTCAAATAAATTCTGAGTACTAAATTTACAACTGAGACGTGAGTTTTGTTTTCAGTTCGAATTAGTTCTTCAATCTCCTCAGACATACCAACTAGACGCGGTTCATATTGATTTTTCATTTGTTTTTATTTTATATATTGTTTTGTGGAAATTATGTCACTTTTGCGCGCTTTAGCTGTCAACTCGCTCTTATCATTTGCGTTTCTGTTTTGCTTCGTGTACTGTGTACATTTTGAAAAGTATTGGACAACAACAACCACCACCGTCAAGCCGTGGCATGTACGCCAGCCGGGCCTATCACTACCGCTGCCCAATAGTCACCCGTCCAAGTGTTTGCGTGAAGTGCCGTGAGTGCGACGAATACACCACAAATCTTTGATTAATTTGAATCCTTTCTTATGTCGTCCCCGAATGGTCTAGCGCGGTATTCTTTCAGTTCGAGAAGGACATGCAAGTGGTGGGCAACAGCACAAACAGTATTTATTTCAATGTCATAGAGGTCTGCTGCAAGGGTTATAAACGCTACGACTTCGACTGGAACCGCTGTGTGCCGGATTGCGGCAACAAATGTCAGGCTAATGGATTTTGTATGCCTGGCGGCATTTGCAAATGTTTTGATGAATTCGTTCACAATCACCGCAATGTCTGCATACCGACTTGTCCGCTTGGCTGTCCGCATGGGCAGTGTTATCTGAATGGCACCTGCATTTGCGAGGCGGGCTACGAGTTGGATCCGACACGAAAGTACTGCATGCCGCGCTGTGAGTCCAGTTGTGCGCGCAATGAGATTTGCGTCGAGCCGAATAAGTGCAATTGTGCCGAGGGATATACGCATGCGCTGCCTCCCAGCACCATGGGCTGTCAACCTGTTTGCATACCGGATTGTGGTTTCGGACACTGCGTGGCGCCGAATGAGTGCGAGTGCTTCCACGGCTATCAAAAGCGCTTGAATCGCATATCTTGTGAGAGTAACTGTTATATGTAAGTGCTGAAGTCTCATAACCACTGTTATGCAATGTATTACTTTCAGGCGTTGCGAAAATGGCTTTTGTGCGAATCATACGACCTGCATTTGTCAGAACGGTTACCGTTTCGACCAGAATACGAGCTCTTGTCTGCCCGTTTGTGACGAAGATTGCGAAAACGGCATTTGCGTCTCGCCAGGCGTATGCCGCTGCTTCAACGGTTATGTGCGTCGCGGTCCAAAGTGCGAGGGTATATGTGAGGCGTAAGTTTAATAAAATACTTTCCCATTCCTACAATGTGATTTCACGCTTATTCACAGTGGCTGCGGCTTTTATGGCAAATGCATAGCGCCGAACGTTTGCGGCTGCTCTACAGTTGAGGGTCCCGTGCGCAACTTTCAACGCTGTGCACATGGAAACTGCAATTCCAAAGGTCGTTGTCGCTGCAAGGAGGGCTTTGTGCGTTTCATCGATCAGTGCATGGAGCCAGATAAGGTTACCACTTACGCATCTATGCGGCCCAGCAGACTAAATCAGACACTGCTGCAGGAGTTTAATATGCTGGTCGGCAGACATTTCATGTTTCATTTTCAAATAACGCCCTACTACTGACAGAGCTACTTTGTAGGGGTTTATGTAGCAAAAAATATAAATATATATAAAACTATGAATATTTTCTTATTCTAAATATTGTTATTATTTAATACTCTATAATAATATTTAAAGTTTTGGGACGTGTGGCTAATAACTACTGCAGTTGAAAATGTCTTTGCTGAGGTTTAAAGAAACCAAAGGTACCAATGTACGTAGGATTTCAATTACTGATTCTCTAATAATACTATTTTGTAGCTCTGCTGACTCCTTCATATATTTCACTTCTACGCATACCCTTGGCGCTTTGAATTATACTTAGAGATATCACAAAAAAATATTATTTAAGCCACAGTATAACATAGTGGACAACAGACACTGAGAACTCATGCATATGTTACCTTAACTGTTTAATATTGTTAAAAAGTTTTTTCACTAATTAAGGTGTACCCTACTTATTTGCTCAATACAAAAAAACAGCGTTCAGTAGTTAAGCTAATATAAAATAGAAACAATCGTCTACATTTAGGCGTCGGTTCGAAAAGAAATAATCTTCCGTGCAAAAAGTGACTTTTTAGGCTTGTAAATGTAGTAAGCACTAAAATGTTTGCAACACATATTGCATTTAAATTTCATACATATATATTAATATAATGAACTATATAATATAATTTTTAATAATGCGAGTATGTACATTTGCACAACGCCTACCTATAAAAAAAGCTCCAGTTAGTTGTATAATTTTTAAAATAATTTGTGCCATGAACTTTCGTATCACTGAACTCGCGCAAAATTGGGTTAGTTGGGCTAGCAGCTAGCTAATGCTCAATCTAATTCACAGCCGCCTATGCGTACTCTCAAGCACAGCGCTCTCCTCTTAAGTAGCTAACATATTTAAACTTGAATGCGGAAAATCGAATATAGAAACTTTTATCAGCTGCTGTCTTATCAGCGCCACAGCAAGCGTTGTATGTGGACTTTCTTTGCGCCAAGCGTAAGAATTATAAGAATTATGCGAAGAAAGAATGAGAACTATCGAAACAAGGCATAAGTGGAGAAAGATTCAATAAGCTGCAAAGTGAACGCTGAAGAAAACTAGGGAAAAAGCGTTTGAAGAGCAGACAACATCATTAATCAGCGCGTCGGTGTCAGTTGTAGAAAGAAAGCCACGCGCTGCGGATTATAAGAGGTGTTAATATTAATTATAAAAAATATTTTAAATTAAAAAAAATATAATATAATATTAAGTAGACATTTCAAAGCATCAGTTATGAACATACAATTGCTTGCATTGCTGATTGTTTTCTGCACAACTCTTCTGTCGAACGCAGTGCATGGCCAATTCTGGAAGCTAAACAGTCCAACTGACCGCGATAATTTTATTTTGGAAACCAAATCCCTAATGGCGTCCGGTATCTGCTATAGGGAAGTGCTGTGAGTGAAGAAATTGTAATTGATAACTTATTAGACCGATATAGCATATGATAGATCATTATAATTTGGCAATGTAATAAAAAATACAATAAGTTGTCATATATATAATTTAAAGAATACACATTCATTTGTGTTAATTAAAATATTTTTATATTGCAGCGGCGAAGCCAGCGAGCCTACCTTGAAGCTGCAAACAATCTCCTATTGTTGTCCAGGCTATAGACGCGTTTTGCAGTCGTCGGCAATGCATTGCGAGCCGAACTGCTCAGAGGATTGCACGAATGGCATCTGCACGGCGCCGGACGTTTGTGAGTGTTATCCGGGCTACACACGCGCCGGCGGGCGCTGCGAGGAACTGTGAACTGAGAGAACAGATATTTCTAAGTATTAAATTAAGAATAAAGAAAAGCACTTAAAGCCAACAAATACCGATATTTTATTGTATTAAGGCGGGAACTACATTCAAGCGCATTAAAGAAATATTTTTTTGAGTGATTTAAATACCGGGAACGCATAAAATTCTCAATCATAAGATTGAATACTACCAAATACTAATTGTAAAAAATAATTTCAATAAAATTGTGTTAAAGTTAAAAACAAAAAGGTTTATATAGATTAATTCTTTTTTTTACGGTAATCAAATGTTGCTATCGGCGAATTTCGTTTGAAAATGAGAAAAATTCAATTATTTTTGAAGTCAAATCAGTTTTAGATTTTTACTAAGTAGACCATATGTTCAAATTTGAATTGGACTGGTCCATTTAAACTGCGCGCGCAAATAGAATCGGTAAAACAAATTTAAATTTTTGGTACAATTGTTTTTTATTTGGAGGCCGTAAAGTCATCGAAAACTGGCCTCATGCGACTCGCCCATTCATCTCTGTTAAGAACGATAACATCAAAAACTTAAAGAAAAAGTGTTTGAAAATCGTCGCTTTAGCATCAAAGTTATAACAAAGGTTCTCGACATATTTTATGGATCAACCTTAATACAGGTTTTGATATGAAGCGTGTCAATTCCAGACTTGTACCACAAGACTTGAAACTTTTGCAGAAACGACATCGAGTAGAAGGCGGAAAAGAGATATTTCACAACTTAGCTGAGTACCCTACATTCATCAAGCGCATTATTTCTGGTGACGGGACGTGAATTTATGAATATATGGTAGCACTAGCGAATTAGCTCCAAAAATGAGCCGACACCGAAATACAATGTCAAAGCCGCTCAAAACTCGAGGTAATAGCTGTTTTGAAAACGATAAAGGGTTTGTATTAAAATACGTGAAAATATTGTCAGTCCGGGTCAAATTTGATCAAATTGTATATATATATAAATATGTGTTCATACCTCGAAAATAACTCGCGTCAAATTCAAATATTTCGCTGTATTTCATGTTTGCTTACAGTGATCTCAAGAAAATGAATATCTTTGCTCAACAAGCTGACATTTAATATACGAGCAAACAGCGGATAGCTCATTGCATATACATACATTCCTGCATGTATACATATATGTACAATATATTGCCATTGCTGCGTATATATGTAAATGACTTTAATCCATATGACCGCCTTTTGGGTTAATGAGATAAGAATTTATAAACTTACTAACAACAAAATTATGTGTAACAAACAATAATTGCACAGTGTGGACAACAAGGAGAGGTAAATGTAGTCGACAACAAAACTATAAAGCCTACACAGAGGCTATGTGTCAAAGCGAAATGCTTGAAGAGCGCTAGCTGTACGTACAACAAGTGTGTGTGTGTATGTGTGTGCGAGCAAAGCAAGCCCGGTGTTGAGGCGCTTGTCTAAAATGACGTTATCAATAATTCATGGAAGAACAAGAGAGACTTAGACAGATTTATAGCTAGATGCTTCATAATAATTGCATGGCTGTGCGATTGCGTGGTGGGGGTAATGTAAGAAGGGGATTTTTTGCAAAATTTTAAAAGCAGAAATTTCTCAATAAAGAGAATTTTGATCACATTATAAAATTAATTTCAAATGAAGCATAAAAAATATACAAATTTTAAAAAATGTCCATAATGTAATATTTTGATAAATTTGTAACATATTTTAACAACAAAAAAAAATTTTTTTTTTGTAAATATATTTGTGTACAGTTAGTTATGTTATGTTTTTATTTAGAAAAAGTTGAAATCAAGCGAGTATGCTTAGAACTCAATGAGATATAGGTATTATATATGTAAGTAGTTATGAAACTAAAAACAATAATCGTTTGCTTGACTTATCTAACACTGCCATACAGTGTCTATACATATATATTATATATGCATAGATGTATATAGGTATGTGCAAATAGAATTCGCCGAAACAGCGTCATATATATATATACATACATGTTGAATAAATCATTTAATTCAATATTTCTGCACTTCTCAAATAATTTCGCTTCAACTCGTAGCTCAGTTGAAGCATAGCTTTTGCCGCAAACGGACGTGTCTCATTTTCGAATTAGTACAATAACACAGCACTTGTATAAATACGCTCACATACATACATACATACAAATATTCTTACGAAGTGATCTCAACGCACAATTTGCAAATCCAATGCATTCGCTTGCCACATTTGTAAGCGCACTGCTGCTGCTGACAGTGGTCGCGCATGCGCAGATCAAAACATCCGGCATTAAGACCCACTATCCTGCCGCACCAAACTCCGCCAACTTGCTGTACAATGAACACAACTACACTGCGCAATACAATCGCACCTTCACCGCAGCGAACACCTATCAGGGTGGCAATGCTGACGTGGTGAATGCTGTCGATGGCGAGGGAAAGTCGCATTTGGCCAACGGCAATCACCTGGCAGCTGGCGAGGAATACCACTACTATGGCGCTGGCGGCAGTTACAGCAGCGGTGGCAGTGCCACGCAACGCGTGACACAATTTGTAGATGCGGCCGCGGAATTCGTCAACAAGACACGCTCTCAAATGGCTTCTGGCATTTGCTACATGGAAGTGCCGTAAGTATTGTAGATTATACATTATAAAGGCGTTATATATGCGGATTGCTAAATTAATAAAACTTGTTTAAAGCCCTATTTTAGAAATAGGTATACAGAAAGTTTCAGTCAAATATGCAGCAAATGATCTTAAATTAACTCTGTTTTTTTTTTTCTCAGAAAAGTACATAAATTTTATTCTTTGCTTAGTCAGATTCCTATTATAAAGCAGTCAAACAGTCGTAAACAAAATAAAGTGCATAATTTTCGTACGAAGAAATTAATAATAGATTACGTAAAAACAGCTGTGATGCCCATTTTTCAAACGACAGATGTCTTTAACAATAAAAAAATATTTATTTCGTTTTCTGATTAGTATAAATAAACCATCTTACACAAATTCTTATTATTTTTGCCTTCTCTACTTCAAATACTCATTCAGTAAAATGTCAAGAGCATTTGAGATAGAAATTTATACACAAATTTTATAAAAACATCAATAATCTTATGTGTTATTATTAACGAGTTCGTAAATAATATTGAACTGCTAACCCCAACATCCTCATTGCGGCGATAAGTGATAAGCAAATCGGCACACTAAACAGAAAAGTGATAATTTAGTTCCAAAAATATTGCTTAACGGTAATCCATTTCGCAAGAGTAGAGCAGCTGCAGAATAGTCGTCGTCTTTTGAAATGAATTTAGACCTTATGTAATCCATTAAAATATTTATTATATTCAAAATTTTAATAAATATAATACTGGCCACTGCTCATCATAACTCCTGTATTCGAAGTGTTTTACCCGCAATATGTACAAGTACAATCGTTTACTTCAGTAATAAAAAACATATATATTAGGGTGGAGCTAAAATTTTTTTTTTTGCTTAGCCTGAGGGTGTAGTTTGTAGATTATAAAAAAAGATAATTTTTGGAAAAAAAAATTTTTTTTTAACATCTAGAGGCGGCCTACTCACTTTTAAGTTAATTTAAATTTAAAATTGAACAAACGAAAAAATGTTTTTTGGTTTAAACTCTTACCATTTATATAAAAACTATCGAATTTGACGGTTTTCGACTCAACATAAAACTCCAATAATGACCACAAATTTTTTTTTTTAAGTTGATAACTTTTAATTAGCCAAAAAGAGCACTCTCCGCAGCTTCTAAAACATTTATCAAAATTTTTTTTACAAAATTTTTCTTTTTTTGCAATCTAAAAATTTGACCCTCAGGCTAAGCAAAAAAAAAATTTTTTTCGTTCCACCCTAATATATATATATTTTTTTTACTTTGCGCTGTTTACAAGAGACAAAATTCAGTCACTTAGGTAAACCAGTCACAACTATATTCATTGTCTCATACTTCCTATAGATTGGTGATAATTGACTCATAGCTTCATCGATGACGACAATTTTACAATCCGATGTGGCTATTGCTCAAAAACAGGTATTTCTACATACATTTGTTTACTGTTCTTTAGTTCAAATCTCCTGAAGAGAGCACAAAACGAATATTTTTATTAAAAACAGTCAAACATCAAATAAAATAGGCTCGTGTTTATGTGTGAACGTATTTTAATACGAATTTCAATTGAATATATACATTTTTTAAAATATGCATTTGAACTAAAATATTTTATATATAGGTATACTTGTATAATACGGTCATATGAATGCGAAATAAATCAATAATAAATACTCAACAATATAGATTTTAGAAAAAAGAAGAAAAAACTTTAACTTCGGCTGCATAGCTGCATTTTTATACTCTCGCAACCTGTTGCTACAGAGTATAATAGTTTTGTTCACCTAACGGTTGTTTGTATCACCTAAAACTAATCGAGTTAGATATAGGGTTATATATATATAAATGATCAGGATGAAGAGACGAGTTGAAATCCGGGTGACTGTCTGTCCGTCCGTCCGTCTGTCCGTCCGTCCGTGCAAGCTCTAACTTGAGTAAAAATTGAGATATCTTTATGAAACTTGGTAGACATGTTTCATGGTACCGTGAGACGGTTGGTATTGCAGATGGGCGTAATCGGACCACTGCCACGCCCACAAAACGCCATTAATCAAAAACAAATAACTTGCCATAACTAAGCTCCGCAATAAGATACAAGACTGTTATTTGGTACACAGGATCACATTAGGGAGGGGCATCTGCAGTTAAAATTTTTTTTAAAAAAGTGGGCGTGGTCCCGCCTCTAATAGGTTTAATGTGCATATCTCCTAAACCGCTAATGCTATAATAACAAAATTCACTGGAAGCAAATATTTTTAGCACTTCTATTGACGGTGTGAAAATAGTTGAAATCGGGTTGCAACTCCGCCCACTCCCCATATAACGGTACTGTTAAAAACTACTAAAAGCGCGATAAATCAAGCACTAAACACGCCAGAGACATTAAATTTTATCTCTGAGATGGTATAAGATGACTTTATAGGAACCGCGTTCAAAATTAGACAGTGGGCGTGGCACAGCCCACTTTTAGGTGAAAACCCATATCTTGAGATCTGCTTAACCGATTTCAACCAAATTCGGTGCATAACGTTCTTTTCATGTTTCTATGTCACAGTGCAAAAATGGGCGAAATCGGACTACAACCACGCCTACTTTCCATATAACACCATTTTAAATTCCATCTGATTATTTCACTTTCCACTATGCAAATCAGGCAACAATGACTGTATCGGGATAAAACTTTGCGCGAATAATGCGATTAAAGTATGCCACCTTGTGGCCAAAAATTGTCTAAATCGAACCAAAACTGTTTAAGCCCCTAAGTACTAAATATGTGGACCCCAGTGCCTATAGTTGACCTTCTACCGAAAATATCAGCCAATCCACAAAGAAATCTCAAACGAGTATACTATTTGACTTTGCGAGAGTATAAAATGTTCGGTTACATCCGAACTTAGCCCTTCCTTACTTGTTTATAGCTTAGATATGATATGTAGTGATTCGATCTGCACAATTTCTTCGGAACTACTTTAATATGCGCACAATTTCTTGAAGATATCTCGTCAATGAAAAAATTTTCCATGCAAACGCTTAATACCGATCGTTCAGTTTATATGACAGCTATATGCTTTAGTGGTCCAATAGCGGCGGTTCCGACAAATGAGCAGTGTCTTGGTGAGAAAAGGGCGTGTACAAAATTTTTCGATAGTCGATAATTCAAAAACTGAGGGATGGTCTCCGGCGTTTCCTTTTGGGTGTTACAAAAATGGGCGTGATTATTTCCGTACTCCCTCCTTTTCACACTGTAGTATAAAATGATTTTCAGTATTTTCACCAGCTTTATAGGCACAGTAATGTGTGAGTCATGCCCTTCCGCATTAGGCTGGTCATTTCGTCATTAAGTTTTGTAGATTTTTTGGAGATTTCGCTATTTGACTATACAATTTTTTGAAAACTATGGTTAGTGATAAGATTCCGCCAATATACAATATTACCCTCCTAAGAATATCCAGTAACACTTTTTGTATAATTTCTAAAATTTATACGAATTAGCATTTATTCGGATAGATAAAGAGCACAGCATCAACTCGACTGATCAATCTTACTTGTGATATAGCTCTATCATTCTCCCGATGTGATTTAGCGGTTATGAACCACTTGGTTAAGTTCAACATGCGAGAGAAAAGGTACAATAAAATTGTTTCACACCAATGTCAAACCGACTTTGATTCATAAAATGCTTAAGACCAAGCAAAGCTTTAAAACATATCGCTGTATTACTATCGTCAAGGGGTTACACCATAGACAAATAGAACATCGTCAATGAGCTGATTTTCTAATTGTATTGAATTATTAAATCTCACTTTTATAAACATTTTTTAAATAAAAATTAATAATCACAAAATCTTCCACACGTTTCAGAACCTCAACACTGGTACGTGATAAAACAATGATACCAGCTGGTAATGGCACCAGTGCGGATAAGAGCAAAATTAAAATATGCTGCCAGGGCTATGTGCGCAACCCACATGTCTACTCACGCTGCGATCCAGTCTGCCTCGACGACTGCCCTAATGGCATTTGCACAGCGCCCAACACCTGCGTCTGCATACCCGGCAACGTACGCAATCACGAGGATAAATGCATCTCTACCTGCCCCATCGGCTGCGGCAATGGTGTGTGCGATGAGCAAAATCAATGCAAATGCAAGACCGGCTACACGCTGGATCTGAAAACCCAGAAATATTGTGTGCCTCAATGCGACAAGCCCTGCGATTATGGCAAGTGTGTGGCGCCCAATAAATGCGATTGCTTTGATGGTTACCGTTTGACCGCTGGTGGTGTTTGTGAGCCGAAATGCGACAATTGCGAGAATGGACGCTGCTCAGCGCCGGGCTTGTGCACGTGCGACCAGGGTTACACGAAAGTGGATGGCGTTTGTGAACCTGTGTGCACTCTGTGAGTATACTTGAACATACATGAACATACTTGAAGTTCCCCATAACTCGATTTGTTTGTTTATCTTTCAGCGGCTGCGAGAATGGACGTTGCGTAGTCCCCGATGTATGCGCGTGCACCAACGGTTTCGAGCAGGATCGCTCCGGCACCAAGTGCATTCCACGTTGCGATCAACCTTGTCTGAATGGCGTCTGCGATGGAGCAAATAGTTGTGCCTGCAACCCCGGCTATGTTTTGGACCCGGTGCAAAAGAATGTATGCCAGCCACATTGTTCGCAAGGCTGCCCCAATGGCTATTGCACTGCACCAAACTTTTGTGTCTGTAAGCCGGGTTACCGCAAGTCTGGTATTAAGGGCCGTCAATCATGCATAGCTGTCTAGTATAATTTGTTATATTACTTAAACTTTTCATTTCATGAATAATTTGTTGTAAAAAGAGCAAAATATATTTATATTAATAAAAGTAAAACTTATTTAGTTGACTTAATGCTTAAAATGAAAGTGACGTCCTATGAGCGTCTTGAATTCACGCCTCAACAGCCGATTAAAGTCCTGCGCGTTGGCGGTCACCAGGTCATACAATTGGTTCATTTCTACGCATCTGTCTATGAAATGCGTCAACGCAATCGGACAAACACAATGTCCACTTGGGTCACAAATTCCCGATCTACACAGTTGGCCAGTTCGCCTGCAACCACAAATTCCAGGTTCTAAGCAATCGCCATAGTATCCACAGTTACTGAAATTGCAATATTTATTACATGTGTGCTTCTTTTCAATTTTGAAGATTTTTGAGATACTCTTCTAAACTTGAACTAGATTTAGAGAAGGAACCTCTATTATTTCTAAAGACTTAGACAAACTATGAAACAGAGTACTTACGTCTTGCATATGGGTTCACAACTGGGTTCTCTATACTCATAGCCCTCGAAACATTTGCACACCCCAGGTCCAATGCAAACACCATCACGGCAACTGTCACCACAATCGGGCAAGCAACTGGTAGTGTCCACATCATATTTGTAACCCTCTCGACACTGGCAATTATTGCGTGACTCACAGAAACCATTTTCGCAGCTTCTACAACAAAAGCAATATGAATGTTAACGAAAAAAAGCATTCCAACAAGCTCTACCTACATATAGCAATCTGCTTCGCACACATTTCGCATGGGCCGCTTATGGTAACCTTGAAAACACTCACATTTGTTCGGACCAACGCATTTGCCATGCCCACAATCGGGTATACAAACCGGTTGGCAGCCCAAATCGGGTGTCATTTTGTAGCCATCTACACAGGCGCACCTACCCGGCGCAATACACACCTGATGTGTGCCACACTTTTGCGGACACTTGGGGCGACAGAACTTACTCGTTTCTAAGTCCAACGTATAACCAGCATCGCACTGGCACGTGCCATTTAAGAAGCAGCGCCCGTGGTCGCAGGCAATCGGGCAAGTGTGCACACATTCGCCGCACTGGTTGCGTACGAACTCCGCAAAGCATTCGCATTGATTGGGCGCACGGCAGAAGCCGTTGCGACAGTTGTTTGGTGAGACAGCCGCACAATCTGGTACGCATTGGTCGCGATCGAAGCGCGAACGTGTGTAGCCTTCGCAGCACACTTCAATGCGTTGCCAATGAACAGTGGAGCCATTGCCGTTTATGGGCGCATCGGGCGCGGTTTGGAAATAGCGTGCGCTTTATACAGGACAATCAATAGTAAGATATATTATTATTCAATTTGATTACTTTTCATTACTTACGGCACTTCGCGCTGACAGCGATTACCATTTTCTCCTGGATCTCCTGGATAATGCAGGGAAAAACTGCCGATCTCGTAATAAATGTCACCATACAACTGCTCGGTATTCTGCTCCTGTGTAGTGGCAGCGCTTAATGCGACTAAGACAAATATGGCGACAGCCAAAACCATTGCGTCGGAAAATGTTTGAAACCTCGTATGAAGAAAGTACTGTTATTGCTCTCTACCCTTCATGATTATGTGTGCCACTAATGTTTATACTTTGTTTGGTGCGCAGTGATCGAAATGTCATAATCGATTAGGCCGCAGTGGCTTGTATATGAATACACTGAGAAACTGAAAAGCTTATCAGTTAATGGAAATTGTCTCGATTAAAATAGAATATGGTATTTTACAATAAATCGTTAAACAACGGGTAGTGCAGAGTCATAAATAAATTCAAATTCGAAATTGGGGAGGATCAACAAATGATATATCCTTGCACATTTGTAGCAGCCTCAAACCCTCCAACATTCACTGTGCAAAAAGCAATATACAAGAAGTAAATTTAAATCTTTTTCTGCCGTTGCAACACCCTCTAATAATTTTATATATTTTTTTTATGAGAAAAGGTTGTACAGTACTTTATCGGCGTCGCATTTTTTTTAAATGAGCAAACAAAGTTTTTCAATGTTATACAATCGTGAAAGTGCCTGCCCCTTCGGTCGTATGGTTTATTTATCACCACTGAATATATACATAGGTACATATCAGCTTATTGTTTTCTTACTTATTATAATTTTGCTTGAAAATAGGCCTTTCGGCTGATAAAAACTTTCAAGACCGCAAATGGATATACATTTATAATTGAGCTTAGAAGTTATGTATGAACAAATCTAATCAGTGTAGTAAGTATGCATATAGGATTATATAATATATTATATACAAAAATATAATATAATGTATGCATTTGGTATTATAAATTTCAGGGTGCATCAAAATGTTAAGACAGGCTAACTATTGAAGCTAACAAAGTAAAAACAAGTTATTTTAGATTGGTCAAAGCACACAGCTGGTATAAAAAACTGGGCATAGTAAAGAAGAAACTGTTTTCCATTCGCCACTTCTCTGAGCACGCTATCTTTGCGCGCTGCTTTAAACAAAATACATGTTAAAGCAACAACAGAGTTACTAAGTTGCTACAACTTTGTTTGATGCGGAAAAAATAATTTTTCTACCACGAAAAAGTCCTATCAGCTGAAATCTAGTGTGCGCCAAGTCTACAAAAGCATCAGTGAACGCTCAACTGGAACAACACAACCTCGTCATGCAAAAACAATAAATACGCCATTACTTGGTCAAATAAAAAATAAAAAAAGGGTTTAAAGTATAATGAACTAGTTGATGTGAAGAAGGACAAGAAGAAAGACAGATTTATAAACGGTCGACACTACCTATGTATGGACTATCTTTTCACCTACTCTCAAAACATTATATAATATATTAACACAAATTAAGCAAAAGCTGTGTTGATTGCATTCTCAATGAATCTTTATGGTTTTTTAATATATGTAACTACTTCTTCATATTGAAAATTAATATCTTTCTTCAAAATTAATATCTATATATATCTTGGGAGCATTTATCTGCTTAATATTTCTTAAATTAGGTTCGAATGAAACAATTAATTCAGTCAATAACAATTGGAATAGAAAATTTTATGAGATTTGCATCACGACCTAGGGTCTATTGTACACTCTCCTTCATTACATATATTCCCAAAGGTCCAGCACTCTGATAAATTACAGGAACTTGCTGGGCGCTGTTAAGGTAATGTGATCCCTGTCCACATTGATCGATCATAATCGCATAACTGTTGCTTGCTGCCAGTGACTTTCTCTATCCGCTCTCTCCTTTATGCGGAGTAGCTCCTTTATGGTGAGGGACCCCACCGCAATGCATGCTTCTGGCCCCATCATCGTGGAAGCAGCAGCAGAGCGGGCGGCTCATTGCCGGCTACCTCTACCTATGCCAGTGGTATATTTTTCCCTTTGGCCTTCATTAGTTGAGACGAGATCTACTTCCCTTTTCCACACCCCTCTGCTGTCATGAGGAGCATGGTATACTTCGCAGACTATTTAATCACTAGATGTAGCGATATAAGCTCTAGCATGACCTCAAGTGCTGCGGTGAGGCAAGTGCGCATTGCTTCAGAGGGGCAGACGCAGGCAAGTCTTTGCAGCATGGTAGACTTCGCAGACTATTTAATCACCAGATATAGCGAAATAAGCTCTAGCATGACCTCAAGTGCTGCGGTGAGGCAAGTGTGCATTGCTCCAGAGGCGCAGACGCAGGCAAGTCTTTGCAGCTTCGATAGTTGAAGACCTATACACCCGTAAGATGGAGTCTAACGTGAGCCCTAAGTATTTACCTTTCTTGGACACCTCTAACTCTCTGCCACCAAGGGTTAGGGTCCTTAAGCATGCAAGAGATCTTATCAATTAGGCGGAATAAGTTCGTAAGCTTGATACATTGTGGATTCACAATAAAATTCCAGAGTCAGCAGGACAAAATATACGAAAAAACATATTATTGACTGTGTGAGGAATCAAATCTGCGCATCGTTCGAACCATTAATATTAGCTTACCACTCGCCCTATATTAGGTGTCAAGATTTGTGTGTTTTCGATCGTCGTAGTGAAGAAACGATTTCTTCGCAGCGTTGGCAGTTGTGTTCTAAATTCAGAGAGCTGTAATGCGATATACGACATGCAATAGATGAACAAAAAAACTTGAGACGATTCATAAGGAGTTTCATTTTAAAAATAATTATCTTTCATTTATTATATGTAACAAAATATAAATGTATGTGTATTAAAAAATATTTTACAAAAATATATGAAAATGGCATAATGATATTGTTTATAAAAATATTTGGTGCAATTACATTGCCTTTCCCACAATTGCAAGAAGAAACGACGCGAGAGTTGATCAAATATTAAATGAGTGCTACTTTGCGTGTGATGCTGTTGTAGATGGCACTTGCAGGAAATTGGCATTTTGCGGTGGTATAATCAAGTGAGCGATATGATGTTGCTGTTGTTGTAGGTTCGTGGCGGTCAAAGGCTGCTGGGCAATGAATGCAGATATTTGTGCGTGTTGTATAGGTTTCGGAAGCTGCTGCGCGTGTGGCGACAAACTCGCTTGAGCAAGAGCGTTAGTGCTGTGAATAAGATGTTGTTGCTGTTGTTGCTGGTGGTTGGAGAATTGTGGATGGTTATGTTGCGGATGCTGATGTTGTTGGCTATGATGCCTTTGTCTGTGTTGAGTATTAAAGTTGTGTTGGTTGTGTTGCTGATGTTGTTGTTGTTGTTGCTGATAAGCTGAAGGATAGCGTATCTCATCGTAGAGATGCGAATCTGGGCTACCTTTGCGCGACTTCGGCGACACAATCGAATAAAGCGAGAGTTTGCGTGCATAATCATAGGAGGCAGTGTTGACCGATGAATTATTGCTGGGCGCATCATAGAATTCGGGTCCTACTGCACAAAAAGAAAAAATGTAAATTAATTTTGCTGCCACCAAATTAAATTTCGAATCAGGACACTTACATACCCTCGATTTTGTTGCGCACCATTTGCGTGAAGGCCGGCAAATCAGGCAACGGTTTGAGGAAACTCTTGCCGCCCACTCCAGACATTGCTGTGGCGTCCACCGTGCTGCCACTACCGCTGCCCAGCTCTGGCCCACCAAAACTGCCATTACGCGCTGCCAACGCTGCCTCGACGCGCTGCTTTTGCCAATGATAGCGCCGATATATATAGAGCCAACTAATGCCGATGGCAACAACTATGATGAGCAGTAGCACAAGCAGTGTACTTAGCAGGTTCGCATCGTGCTCGGCTGCAGTGGGCGTGGGCGCTAAAGTGTGTGCCGGCGGCTCAATCACACCGCCAATGCCCGCCAAACTCAGTTTCGCATCTTGCGCAGCGCCAATCATGGAACCGTTCGCGTGCGTCGGCCAATCGGCACCTGCGGCTGTGATTACGTGTATCACCTCAGGTGTCTTGCCGTCAGCGGTGTGCAAGTCGCTCAGCAAGCCACCACTGAAGCCGGGTTGGTGTACAATTATTTTGGGCGTATGCTGATCTTCTTGCTTGATGACGATTACCTCAGGCGCGGCGGTCAGTTGCGGCGGCACAATTGTGCTGGTCGCTATGGTCACTATTTTATTCGCTATGCGATCAAGCTTGTGGGTTATATTAACGATGGTGGAGTTGAGTGTTTGAATCATGACATGCGTGACATTGGGCATCACTGGGGCCAGCGCATCGCCACAGGCGCCCGTTTGCGGATGGCAGCGTTTGTCGGCGCAGGCGCACTCCTTGTGACACATGACGCCATACGAACCGGTCGGGCAAGGCAGCTCGCAACTGTGTAAAAGAGCAGAAATAAATTTAACTTTTTTTTTCATTTAAGCTGTAAATTCACGCGCTTACAACTCGCCCGTCCAACCAGCAGTGCAGTGGCAGATACCAGATTTATTATCGCACACCGCACCATTTTGGCATTTGCACTTTTGCTTGCACTCATCGCCCCAGTGATCGTGATCACACCCTGTAAAAGCAAGCAAATAACGTAAGAAATACTACTAAAGTGCTATATATTCGTTTTATATCAAATGACTCACTTTGCGTGCAATGCGTTCCAGTGTAGCCCGGCTCACAGCTGCACACATCCGGCGTCTGGCAATAGCCGCGTCCACAACCGCCGCGGCAAACTGGCTTGCAAACTGTGTCATTGATCGAGATGTTGCCTTCATAACCCGCACAGCAGAAACGTATCGTGCGCGTCTTTGTGACATTCTGTGGAGTAGAAAATATAAATGTTGTAATTTAAGTGCCTAAAAGTATGCAACAGCGACATAATAACTCAAGTAACGCAGCACAGTGAGTACCAAAAGTGAATGTACGGCATTAAAAAAGTTTATGTACATATTTTCGCGATACAGGTTATATGTATACATAAATAAATTTATGCATAAGTTCACCGCTATGTTTGTTGTCAAAATATTTGAAAATTATAAATTTCATTTGGAATTCGAAAATAATTTTCAAATTGCTCTTGTTTGAGCTAGAGCTGCATATTTCTTAAAAATTTATAAAAAATTTAACGTTATACTATATGGTAAATGACAATCGTTACACATTTTTAAGTACACCTATCCAATGACTCATCTATAACTGTAACGCAAAGGCATACGCTTGCCACAAAAACACAAATAATATACTCGTAAGAACATGCCAGCAGCAAGCGAACTGCTCAATAAACATATTTAAAACGTTGAAGCAAAATCTGCCACCCCAAATAAGTAGTCAAGTATTTTTGAAGTAGCATTTTGTCCGTCCAGTCATGTCATTCATGTGTCTGCATTGAAATTTCCTGCTTTTATTAATTCAACACAATCAACGCCACTGGCTCCTAAATAAACAACACTAACTGCGCTCCTACACCACACCCCCACATGTTGCATTACATGCCATTACATTTGTATGTATGTATATTATAGAGACAGAGTCCACGGTTGTTCGCAGTCGACTGTTACTTGTGGGTGCTCAATTAGAGTGGCGACGTCACCGCCTGCCTAACACCCCCGTTTCAGCTCTGGCTGGCGCGCATCTCAAAATTCTTCACTAAATTGTTTACGAGTGCACAAGTGTACATAGTTCTTGTTGTTATTGTTGCAATTTGCATTGTGCGCCCAGACTAAGCGACGACTTCTCGTTGCTTGACTTTTCGCTGTCATCAGCTGAAGTTTGTTATTGTTGTTCCGTTGTGGTGAGAAGCTGAGGTTAATAATCCATTGATGCAAAGTATTTAAAGCGTTTTGTATTATTTCGCTGCTAATTGTATGAAAAATGTCTGCAATCGCTTTGTTGTGGGTGCCGGTGACAGTTTGAGAATTTCGTGGAAAATATTTCATGCAGAATGGTGGAATTTATTTAAAAATACAAAAATCGATACAATTCAGAAGAGTCATTTAAAAAATAAATAAAAATAATGCACATTTACAGAATTAAATATAGTTTGAAAATCAGTCTTAATTTTGAAAAATTTTGGATTCCATTCATCCTGGAGATCGGCTTCCAGAAACAATTCTGAAAAAGGTAACTGACGGTGATGAAGATTCATTCAGATTTTATCATTACCGGACAATTATATCTCAGGAAGTGTTCGTCAGCCGTTTCGCAGAAATTTTGCTCACCGACTCTTAAGGCAAAGTTTGAGAGCCAATTACACTAAGTTAAAATTTTTTTGCTAATTGGCTAATATCTCCGAAACTATTTGCCTAACCAACTTCAAATTTTCGAAATATGCAAATTCGATATACAAATACGCACGTTCGATATATGTATAAGCAAAAAATCGATTTTGCCACAACTAAATATAAACCCTTAATTCGAAGGCCGCAAGCGAGCACACTCAGCCACTATTGAGCCATTGTACCCCCAAAAGAGTTCCCACTAATCACCAGTCAACAACTCTCAACCGACTCAATCGGAGACTTTTACCTAGTCGGGTTATTTGAGGATATGCTATCGAGAAGCATAATATTAATCACCGCGTCGATATTCAAATTATGATTCTACAGATTTCTAGTAGTTTAAAGACTTGTTAATTTCATAGCAAAAGCTTTACCCTCAATCTTTTTTGCATACCTAAAAAAATACTATAAACGGAGCACAGATTTCTCTTGGTAAAGTCATACAACATAACAGTAATTCGTATAAGTATTGAAAAGGTACAAGGTAATCATATGTTATTCAAATATCATTTACTCAATATTCCTCAGCACTAGCTAGAAACCATACATATTACTCTCCGGTTAGTTACACCGACTGCAGTCAGTTTTCCCTCATTGGGCCCGCATTTACATATATTCTCGTAGTCTATGAGTCTTATGGTAGCCTTCCGGGTTTGAGAGCGCGTACACTTCTCTGATTATGATGACTAACGAATTTTCATACTTAAGTGATAACTAAACCTTCTCACATACATACATATTTATGCTTTACACACACTGACTTATGAACACTAAAGCAACTTTGTCTGCTATTTCGCTATAATTTGCTATTCACCTGTAAAAATATAGTTGAAGGGTTTCGATTACAAAGCACAGCAACGGCTCAAATGCATTTCTTAGGAATTCCGCGTTAGCCAAGCCACATATATCTGTATATATGCTATATATATAGTATATATATATGAATAATGCATTCGCAATACATCTGCAAGCTCGACTCAGAAGCGCACACACTTGCGTGCAGCATTAAATTTCATTAGAGCACAATGAGGAATATGAAATAAATCTTTCGAAATGACTGTAGGCAAGTTGACGAAGCACGAAAAGGAATGCCATGCGAAATGTGTATGTGTGTGTGTTTTGCGAGGTTTTAATTACCATGTTGCAGGAAACTTGCGCAACACCATGTAATGAGCACTATTTCTTTGTTCGATCTTTTATTGCACTAGTATTTTGCAACACTGGAAAGTGGAGTAGTGAAGGTATACTTATGCTCATAAATGTGTGTATTTGCGAGATACAGTTACAATTGTTGCATGCCAGTATTACTACCTTAGCAGTTAAGTAAGTAAGTATAAGTAAAAGGTTGCTTATTAGCAAATTTTGTCTCTTCATCTGCTTCTTCTTTGTCTTCCTAGTGTATCTTATTTGGTTTATGAGATCACCTTTGTAATTGAATAGATATTTGCTGGCTCTAAATTAAATAACAAGCAGATTACGCACTCCATAGCGTCAATTCGTGAATAATTCATAGTTAAAGTTTACGATTTTATCACAACGAAATGGAAAGTTTAGTAATTCTTCCTATTATTTGATAAGCGTAAACTATTTATATATATGGTTTAGGTGAGCGAACTAGCATTTGCGAAAAAATTTTAAATATTTCCCCTCAAGAATATGGAATACAGTATTTCATAAAGCACCATTTTTGCAAATTAGTTATATATACCAGGTAATAGCAATAAACCAATATTCAGGCAAATTACAAATGCGTAGCGGAGACCGAAGATAGTTGGGCTCTACGAAACCGCAACGAACTGAGCCCAATCTGGCAGACAATGTAGCTGAGCGGTGACTGTCGTTTCGCCTTTCGCCAAAAAGTCAAGCACAAGTCAGGCATTTTTCCAGCATGACATGCTTCATACCCAAAATATTCACCAAAATACGTTGAGCGATCCATAAGAAATATTTAGATCCTTTGCTATTTCTCTGATGCCAACACGACGATTTTCAAGCAATGTTTCACTAACTTTTTCAATGTTATCGTTATTAACAGGTAAAGGGGGGATGCACGACTCGCATGAGCAAGTTTTCTATGACTACACGACCTTTACTGAATACTTTGTGCCACTCAAACACTTGTGTTTGTGATAATGTGAACTAGCCAAACAGTTTTGAAACATTTTTAACGTTTTCATGGCAGTGATTTTACTGCAAACACAAAACACTTCCCTCGAACATAAAAAAAGAAAAAAAAAATGTCGATTCGGTTTACGAGTAGTTTAAATGAACCAGTCCGAGTCAAATTTGATCAGTTGGTGCTTTGACACAAAATAGCAGCTGATGAGCCAATCGTCGGTATCACCTTTTTCAGGAGGGACTTGACCGGCAACGATGCTTTTAAAAAGTCGTGCTTTCTCAAACAAAATAATGATATTTTAAAATTGGTACAAGCCTAAAAATAACGATTTTATGTAAACACTGTAAAAATATAGTATGTAAGGTTACTACATCAAACGCAATAAAATTAGTAATTATTAAATGAAATATATATATAATAAACAAACTGTGAAAAAAATCTCACTAAGGTGAAATTTATTATTGCTTTATTAGAATATAGAATAGAATTATTATTTGTTAGGCTAAATTAAAAGCTTTTTGATATTAAAACTAAAAATCTCATCAATTTATATATCTGGAACACTCTGTTATCAGGGGTATCGAAAAATCAAATCGAAAGAGACACATACGTTAGAGAGCTAAAACTGTAGATTATTGCTTCAACTTGAACACTCTTTCTATTAGAGGATCTAACATCCTACAATACTTCACGATAAACCTGCAATGGGTTTCAGCGCATAATCATATCCTTGGTAACTGCGAAGTAGATGAACTAACCAGAACAGGCACCACGCTACAATTAGCCTTTGGAAAAGAGGCAATTTTTATGCCTCGGGCAACTTGTAAACATTTAATGACCGAACATGTTATAAATCTAGCTGAGTCTCGGTGGAGTCAATCACTGACTTGCTGAACTAGCAGGCAAACGTGGCAGGAATGGAACATGAGCCGCACAAATCGACTATTTAAATTCAAAAGGAATGACATAAGAACTCTGCTTGGATTACTAGTAGGTCACTGTCAGACAGCCACTCTACTTACCTACCTATCTGTACACCCCTTTTCTAATATTCCACGGTAGGCGCTTCTTTTATATCTTCATTATTGTTGATGAGTCATAACTTTCTGCTCTCCACCAATTGTTGCGCCAAATATACATATATATTTTGAATAACTGCAACTACAACAAAAAAACTCCAAAATACTAGTTTTATGTATTATTGGTAATCACTTGCTATATCAAATTACACTACCTGAACTCATATAATATTTAGCAAGTCATATGGTGGTGTGACTGTTTCTAACTTCAAGATTTTACTCCAATGACACCACATCACTGCCCGCATACAGCGTTCCTAACAAGTGGTGTGGCGCACATTTTCCACTTATGTATGCATACCTATATAACTGTAAACGCATATATGTGTGTATATGTATGGC